TTGCTAATCGCAACTTCGACACGAACACTACATCCATTATCGCCGATAATTTCCCTTTTGCTCTTTGAAAAATCCCGCCTTCCACCGTGTACGCGCTCCCGAAATACGCGCCGAAGTTCAAATAGCCGGCCACTTAACGAGGTATAACGGGAGAAACGACGGGCGCATCGCGGGATAATTCTTCGATTTTACTGTGTGCCGAGTGTGAGGCGCCTGGGGAATCGATCGACCAGCCGGATCGTTAAAAACCGAGAGACTGTATGTATTTGTGTGTGTGCGTATGTATGGGTGTGTGTGTGTGTGTGACAAAGTGAGCCGGCACTCTGTGAAAATAGTCCGCGGTCCGCGCTGCTTGCCGAGAGAAATAATACCATCGTGGGATCTCTTGTCGCGAAAGAGGAATAAATATTTTCAACAGCTAAACACGCACGATTCTGTTGATATCGGTAATTCTAAAAAATGACCCTTACCCATATAGCACCGATTGTCGCAGAAAGCTTTCAGAAATGTTCTCAAAATTATTACAACCCTTCATATTTCATGCGCGACATTTCATGAAAGAATTCTGCAATATGTCATTTGAAGTGTTGCAACAGGAATGTTTCTGAAACCCTGTTCGTTTGATTTCTTAACATATTCATTTTTATTTGTCTTTAATTTATACTTTATGTTAAATTAGCGCAGAAATTTCGGTGGACCGTTTGAGACATGCGTGAACTGTATTAAAAGTTTAAAACATAAGATATATTTAACATAAGATATTAAAAATTTTTTTAATTTAATTTAAAATTGTTTACTATTTACAAACGAAACTTTACGAGCTATTCCGCGCGTAAAAGTGACGTTAGATGTCCATATTTAATACCGAGCTTTTGAGAATGCTAGTTTCGTAATGCGCAAATCTGCATTTGCGTGTGCGATGTCTGAGCCGCTTATTCACGTCATAGCTACATCGCAGTTTGCCGGCGCACACCCGTAATGCTACTTTTAGACGCTTTAGGATGAATTTTCGCGTCCGCACGAATGACAAATGAAATTATCACGCGATCGTGTGTGGAATAAGCATACGCGAGCTGTACAACGCAATATACGGTGCATGCGAGGAAATCCCAGTTACTGCCATTCGGCAACGCCGGCTGTAAATTATAACGGCGCACCGAAGATATTTGCGATTTCTCGCTTCTGAATAATTGCTGTTGCCTGCAACTACCTGCAAGTGTAATCCTACTGTAATATATTACATTCCGGCGGCAAATGAAGCCAAGATTTGAACGATTGGCAGCGTGTGAATGGTCCCGTGAGATATACTTGAGTTTATAAAAGTACATTTTAAAGTGAACGGGAATGGAGTAACGGGAGCAATTTCGAAAGTACAGTTCGATCAAATGTAATCAACGGTGTCGAAGAGGCTTAATAATAATTCTCCCAGACTACGGGCATACTACTGGATATTTCTATACCTAAGTATCCATTCCCCTAGCTACTTAACTCGAAATTTTGCGTGTTATTTGCAAAATGGTATAGGACGGGAATCAGGATTACTTTGGGACACCCTGCATATATAATTCTGATATCAAAGTTAAACATAGAATGCTTTAAAGAAATAAAAAAGATAAATAAGTAATAAAGAATAAGAATATATAACTACGGGTACTACAGTATCTGCGTAACACCCGAAAAAAATTGAGTATTTAAGTAATATCCGAGATATTCAAGTATTCAGACTTAGAATGATGGAACCAATTAATAATATAGCAATGGATATTTCCCGGACAACGGGACGAAAATATAGCTGGCTGATATCTAGACGAATCGAAAGATCCGACCGGCTGAAAGAATTATTAGGGCGTGAGCATTGGAAATTCCCGGTAGACCTCTTTTCAGGTCGAAGTATTTACAAATCGAGGATCAGTCGGTAATCTTCAAGCGAATTTTGTCAATATGAAGCAGGTAAGCCACGGAAACCAGATAAACGGATCAGCCTTTGACGAAGAGGAGGAATCTCTCTGGATTTCGTGGTATATATAATAGGAACTGGCGAAAGCGCGAGAATGCGTAACAGAATAGCTTCCAGCGATTCTTTCATTGCAATCTGTCAATCTCGCAGGAGTTTGCCCTTACATTCAAGAGGTCCGAATTTATAGATTCTTTGCGCCCCGAAAGAGAGCGATAATTGACGTGAACGACTTTAACTTACTTGTGTCGTTAGGAAATTTGAAAAGTATGTCTACATCGTTCAATCGTTTTTCTTCAGATCAACATTAAACGTCAATCCTTAAGTCTATTACGTTCACGTCACACGAGAAACGGATTGAAAAGGAAGAATCAAAAGGTTTGTTTTTTGTCCTTGCGTTGTCTGAATTAGTTCAGAAAGTGTGCACTGGAGCGTTTTCAGTTCCAGAACTGACGTCAATGAAGCTGTTTTCTATTCCAGTGCGGCAGAACTCGGTGCACGAGTTTACTGAACTGGCTACATTAGGTCAGTGTAGACAGTAAACAGTGCAAGAGTGCAAAAGTGCAAAAAGTGCGAGAGTAACAAATAGTGTGATAGGAATAGTATGTACGGGATGTGGTATTTTCTCTTAAAAAATCTGAAAGAGCATTTAATTTTACGTAAAAAAGTGCTAGGATATTTTTGGCCTAAACTCATTATGTAAGAAGATATTTCATGGAAAAAAACAAACAAAAACCCTCTATTGAACAATGTATACGTGCATATCTTCTAAATCTAAGACTACAGACGAAGAAGTGGGGGAACAGCCGTCCCGCGCGCGCACCCAGAGTTCATGACCCTGCGGTTCGTCACTTCCACAGTATTTTAAGACTCTAAACCCTCTCTGGCGTTTGTAAAATCTTAATTTAATGATTGTTCAATATCGGTACTCTTAACCTCATGACATAATCTAATTCGCCGACGGAAATGTTCTTCTAATGACGATAAAGCATTGCGTTTGAACGCTACGGCAAGCATCTCTTATTCCTCTTTTCGTATCATCTTTGACCGTTGGTGGATTTTGATAAACTATATGTTTAATATAGCTCCGTTAATTTGACGTCACTTTGCCATTTGGAAAGTGTCATGTACGAAAGGAAGTCGGAAGTGTCGATTTTATTTAATAACGGGATGTTATTTAACATGAACTGTCGCCATTAATCGAGAATCGCTAAATATATATACACGAGTACTTATGTATATGAGATACACAAGGGGAAAGCCTTGTGTTTTCTAAATAAAAGTACCGTGAGCTCACAAAGACGACACCTCCGATCGTTTCGCTTTCTTTTTTCCTAACCTCGTGCCAATATACCGGGAGGAAAGTATTCGCCATCAGCGAGCGATTCGAACCGTCGTTACCATTTAGAAATTAATACCGCGAACTTGGTGATACTACACGATACGCATGGTCGGCAATATAGTTTATGAGAAGAAGCGATGGTCTCGAAAGCGCGAGACATCTGCGAAACTTATTCCCACGCCAGGGGGTGTAGAAGGGAGCGGCGACGAATTTTTATAAGGGAGTACAGCTTCGCTTCGCTTCAATTTCCGACAAGTGGCCCGGACGAATCGTCCGGCCGCGCAGCAACGCGGGCACAGAAGTATCCGGGAACGTCCGTTCGCATTTGGCATAATGTTATCAACATTACACGGAGATCAGCTCGGATACGATTGTTATCTCGTTGGAGGGACGCGTACAGGAGCGGCGTTTGCTATCGAGACGCTCGGCAAGTTAGTCACCGACGAGGTCCCACGGTTTATTTCGTCCGATCTCGTCGGGGGACTCCCCTCACGCGTCGTTTAACCCGTGCGTGCCCGCTGGCTCGCTGCGATTTGTACACGGACAATTTTCCGCCTCTCCACGTCGGAACCGTTTAGGATCCGCGCCGGATCACCGGGGCGAAGGAGAGTAAGGGTGGAAAAGCATCGGAAACTTGTCAGCGCGAGTTTAAGCGCGCGCGCGAACAAAGGACCATCGGTCGGCGCACCGTGCCTCTAAACGTCGAGATTATCATTGTGCCGATATTTATCTGCCAGTTTCTAACCGCGATTCCGCCCGGGCCCCGGTCATTGTCGTGCGGCAGGATACCGGCGAATTCTGTGGCCCGCGTTTCCCCGAGTTGACAAATGGACGGACAATGAGACATTCCAGCGCGGATAGAATAACTCCATTTAACTACCGTAAATCTTCCTCCCTTCCCGTTGACCGTTCTCCAGTGATCGCGATCCGAGACGCTCCTGCGGAAAACCAATGGGAATCGAGCGTGTTCCTACGTAAATTCCGATGCGCGCCCTCTTAAACCGATTATATCACGGCGCGAGTTTCCCACCGTCGTATTTCCGGCGACGGGAATAAGTATAGCGCGTACAATGCAGATAAGGAGAATTCGTGAAAGAAAAATTGTGTTAGCCGCGGACTGTCGATACATATCAGGGTGAAACGGGGGTAACAGCGGCCACTTGAGCGAAAACTCTTGTAAATCTGATAAGAAACCCTGATAGAAATCTGTGCAGTTTTACTGGACACTCAATCAGTTACTGTCCAGTATTACTGCATTCTCATTAATTGTATCAATACTGCGTGTAGGAAATGGACAAAATACTTGATAGAGTTTTGTTCAGTACCTGAAACAGTTTTCTTGGTAAAAATATGTATATTAATAATACGGAATTGCGTTGTGACAAAAACGCATCGGACTGTCTTAGAAACGCACCTTAGATTTCTTGTACAATTTTGGACATAAAGGTTATCCGACTTTTTGCAATAAGTTTAGCAACCTAAAAATGATCCGATGAGAGAATAGTTCCTAAGAAATAAGTTCCCTATTGGTATATTCAGTTATGTTTTGAAATTTATTACAAAAAATCAGATAACTTTTATGTCTACGACTGTACTACGATATTTATTATCCTTAAAATTGTACAATAAGCAAGTATGCACACAATATCCATTATTACCAGCACAAAACTGCCCATTTTATGAGCATAAAAGCTTGCTTATCAATCAATTGAATAGTCTCTTTATCCAATTATTGCTCAGTTTTCGGTTAGTAAATAAATTCAGATTTTGTGCATCTTTCATGCCCACTAACTGCAAACAAAATGTTACGTCTTGATCAAGATCCCAATATTTTTGTCAAAGAGCAATATTAACTCGGTTAAGATAACCGAGTACAATTGCCCGAGCAGCGGAAACATATTATAGAAATTTTTCTGTTTCTACAATCGGGTTTCCATTTAGTCCCTGGATAACAAAAAATTTCGGTTGTCGTGACCGAAATTCAGTTACACGAACTGAATTTGTTTTTTTCCGTGTAAATGAGAAAGAAATGCTTCAGGAGGGAAAATGTTTACACACTTTCGATCATTTGATTTCAATAAAGTATTTATCATATAAACACGATTATAGTGCAACATTCTACGACGATATTAATGCGATTTATATTTCCTACGTTTGTATTTAAATGAGAAAAAAAATGTTGGGGAGATGTTATGTGCAACTCCAAACGAACGATTTTATCCTGCCCTTCTCTATCGAGCGAGTGACGTGAGTTTCACCGTCGAGCAGACAGTGTACTGTAGAACCGTCCACTCCCCAAGAGAGAACATATTTATCCGTTAAAAGCAGATGCTAGGAAAGTTTGCCGTCAGTACATAAATCAGATACCCGACGATATCGTGCATAGTTATAAATAAGTATTTCAATAGAACAAAAGAGATGTCGAGACCTCGGTATCATTTGAGTAAATTTTATTTTCAATATTAGAAGCTTGAAGAAATGTACTTTTTATACTAGCTGTTATATCTTGTTACAAATAATCATTTTAGCGCACGTATACAGCGATGAAATTACACTAGACACTTCCGATCTGCATAATACAGTGAAAAATATGCATATGCAATTACAGACTCACCACATTGACGAAATCCTGGAAAGTCACTGCCTGGACACGCGACTCCTTTGCTCTGGTGAGAAGTATGTCACGTTTGTTGGTCGGTATCTCCGCCTTCCATTCGGGACTCCTCAGAGCTACCAAGAAGTCCTCCAACGGTATCTCTCCGAAACCCTCCGGATCAAACTAGAGCGAAAGAAGCAAAATCAGCAAATCTGATTTACTGGAAGCAAATAAATTATCGCTAAAAGTGTACTCACCTTGTCGAAGAGCATTCGCCATTTCTGTAACATAGTAAAAGAAAAAGGATCCGTATTAGCCATAACATTTGGAATAATTCATATAAAAGGGCGTTTTTTATTTGCAAACGAAACTAATCAACTATATCTTAATTTAAAGAATTTAGATTTGACTTTCAAATCTCGTTTAATAATTCTCAAAAGCCACCAAAGTCAAGAAATGTCAACAAATAGCAATCATGTAAAAGCGTCATGTGAATTCGTTAGACAATTAACGAATGAACGGATGTTCCATTAGCGAGTAATAATACTCAGTTGTTGATCCAAACGATTAATCACTATTCGATCGGTCGATCATTCCAACAATTCATTGCAGACGGCTCACTGATCCTCATGATCGGTCCGTGTTTATTAAAGTAAGCTCAAGGTAACGGATTTCCTATGACTATATTAAGGAAGCCTCATAAATTTACCGTTTATTGAATGAAAATACTTTCCCATAAATTTAACTATGCAATAAATATGTGGATTTGAAGCGAAGTTGAAATAAATATATGTACACAATATCACTTTAATACTTTAATATAATATGGAAATATTAATTATTTTTCTCTCCTTCTTTCTCTCTTATTAATGTTGTGTTTATGCGTTGATTGATCTAATGGAAATGTACAGATAATAGATAAAAGCATATAAATATTTAAAACGGTGTACATGTGTGTATATATATATACTTCAAATATTACCAAAAGAATATAAACTTGCCATTGTTGTATTTCCAGAACAAGATGATCAATAATTCTAAATTCTCTTACATAATATCTCTACATTAGTCTTTAATATCACAATAATGTTTTATTACAATGTTACGTATAATTTAGAAGTAATTAAAAATAAAATACTAATCTGAAGGAAAGTATATACGTATATATAAAAAGATATTAGCCTCAGATGCAAATATCCATATAAACGCTTATTCAGCTTCCGGCTCATCTATATATATGTCAATTCGTTTTTGATTTACAAGAATTTTCCGATGAATTACACAAAACGATATTCGTATGTAGTGCAGGTGAGTCGCTAAGAAATTCATTTCAGAAGACGAACTACCTTAACGACATCGGAATAAGAATACTCACATCATTAAGTAGCTCCCGCCTGTACTCGGACTCGTCGATATCGATCTCCGAGGCGAGATCAGTGTGATCGGTAATGTATCCATCGTAATGCGCGCTGTTCGCCTCGCTACGTACGTACTCTTCCTCCTCGACAGTGCCGGCGATGGTCGGTATCGAGGCGATACCGCTTGCCAGTAGCATTACCGCGCGTGGCACCGAGGTCACCGGGTGAATCTCCTCATTCCTTTCTTTTCCGCGTGCTCACTGAAACACGAGGGGTCCACTGTCTGCCAAACCGTTCCACCTTCATAAAACGATCAATTTTATCGTCAGCAGCGGCGTAATATCCTACGATAGATGGTTTTCACCCATTAATTTCAGGTTTCTCTGATACTTCAAGTAAAAATAAACCGAATAACTAAATAAAAGGCTGATAAGAATTGGTGATATTACAGTACAATAATATGAAGTATATAAACGCGACAGAAGAAAGTACTCAATTTGCGACGAGGCACTTTGACAGGTCCTTGTATATTGTATTTGACAAGCCTTCCTCCCGCCAACTCGTCGTTAGCGCAATCGTTATGTGATTATCTACGTGAGAAGGTATTATCCAAAGGGAAATAAGGGTGCAGGAATATTGATCGTCCTTGCACCCCTTTAAGGCGCGTTAGTGCCCTTGAAACTAGCGACCTGTCTTTCTAGAGCGCAACGTGGAGATGTGGCACAGCATGCCCGCACGATGGTACCGTTTCCATGGCGATGCATCGACGATAGGTTTGAGGAAGTGCGCCCGATCATTCGCCATGCTCCACAGGACGCATTCGGGAATGTGTCAACGCGTGCGTTTTATTTGCACGCGCGTGTGACATTTCAGGCGTGACTCTTTGCGGTTTGAATTTCTTGGACTTTTCTATTCAACCATCTCATATAAATTTATTGCAAAATATTACTGGCTGTGATAAATTGGCCAGTGATAAACTTTGTTGCTCAGTAGTTTTGTTCTTCGTACGAATAATAAAATTACAGAGCAACAGGCTCTATATTATCATTGGCCATTTTATCACAGCGAATAGTACTTTTCTGTTAAGGTATCTCATTGAAGTTGCTTTTATTTTAATATTTTAAATCATCCCACACAGTTTTATCTGAGAGACGTCTTACAGACATCATTTTGGAATATTGCAGTACCCATAAGATATAATATTATATATATATTTTGTTTTTCCCATTTAGATAAAGATAAAAATGACCTATTTATTTATCTGGATCATTTAGATAATTTTATTTAGATACCGGCAAACATTGCTGATGTCTGTCGTTAGGCATAACAACTGTCATGTATTTGTAGATTAGGCTATTCTGAAGAAAAGTCCTGTGTTACTTTGCAAATAACACGTAAATTTATTAGATTTATTTATTTAAAAAATCTCTATGGCCATTTTCATTAATTAATAACTCGAAACTTTCCATAGTTTTTTGCAAAATAGTAGATAATTTTTTTGCTTAGTTTAACACATTCTATCCACACACAAGCGGCGTGCTAAGAATTACCGGATACCCTGTCTATCGCGTTAAAAAATCTTTATGAAAGTAGATTGTGAATCCGTTATTTTGCAAACTACGCTCTCCTATTATATATTTTAATTAGTTAAAATGTAAAACATATAAAAGAGCAAAAAGTATATAAGAGTAAATTGGATCGTTCCATAATATCTCTAATAAATTAAACCATGCTACAAGCTGTGTTAAGTTAATTAACATAACATTGTGTAACATAAGTATATAATGAGAACAATTAAGTGTGAATATTTTGCTTAAATTTCAACCTTCCACATTTTCTCCTCATTATTTCTCTTTCTCTCTCCAAAAGGCGAAAATTTGCCTTTTACAAATTATCTCCCCGTTATTTTCAGCTTTGGAAATTTGCCCCAGCATCCTCTTACATCCCCCTTGTTTCAAAGTAATTCCAATATAATCTCGGTTGCGCACCCTTGCACGCGACACACAATGTATGTGCAGTCTAGCAATTTTCGTTGCACTATCGCGAAGTTCTATCGACGTAAAACTATAACCATAGCGCATCCCAAGCCTCGGCCAAACACGCCAACCAATCTCTCACCACCTTCAACCCGCCATCCCTTCCGACTGCGCGCACCCTAGCGCGTGTGTCTTTCTTTCGACGCTCACACGAGCTACCCTCCGTTTCGAGCGAATATCAAAGCCCCTTCGGAGTCGTCTCGGCTCCTGCAAAGCCACCACGCATCCCCAATGTTCGTTCTCTCTTCCCCTTATCTGGTCTTCCTCGTGCGTTGTGCTGCGACGATGTCTCATTATTACGTGGATGTGTCGTGCAAAACTCAAAGACTGTCAGCTCGAAACAAGTAAGGTCGTCGACCTTGATAAATGATCTACAAAGTACATAGGCTTCTTATTCAGATGGAAGAGACACCAGAGATTTTCTTTAGCTCGAAATTTCGTAATTCCAGGATATAAGTTTTCTTTGCAAGATGTGCGTACATGAATTTTGAAATTTTATTTTTCAAAAACTCTGCGGCTTCTTTCCCTCCGTGTCAGCTAAAATATTTAATTAATACATATTTCATTTATTATATTAATTTATGTTTCTACCGTTTAAATGATTTGATGAGTCTATTTTTCTTTTGCGCCGGAATTTAACACGATCGTTGCCACCGTTTACCTGGGAAAGTAACTGCTACAGATCATAATATTTTTTCTCTTTTCTTAATATATATAACATATAATTATACACACACAACAATACTCGAGGATGATCCTCGGAGAGTGGAAGGTGAAAATTCACCCATGACCTATGCCTCTCCGTAGGCAAGCGAGAACTCCTTTGGACCCTTTCAGAACACAATCGCTAAACTGAGAACACCCCGTATAAGGAATCGTAGACAAAGACCATGCGTGCCACAAGGGCACGGAATAAGTACGGCTAACGTATGCCGCGACCGAGACAAACTGACACTCTGAAACACTAGAGAAGACCGTAAGGAAGAAAAAGCGGTCTACGAAAGTCGGGCGTCCGTAGATATAGTCTCGCGGGAGTAAACCTCGCGAGCGAGCTGGTGAGCTCGTCGCCGCGTCGCGGCGTCCGCGGCCACTGCTGCAGGGCAGCCGAACTCATTCGCGAGAGAGGTTCGCGTTGCCGCTGGCGAGAAAGCGCTCGCCTGAAGATTAGGCAACCAACCACGCGGTGCTGGAGGAAGGCCGTTAGCCGGATCTTCAGGAGGTTGAATCCGCAACGGTAAGAAACATTAGTAGGCATAAAAAACGTGTTTTATTAGAGTGCACAAACACGCAACATGTCGCGCCAAAAAGAGACTTGATCGATTTCATAAACAAAATGGCGTCGAATAAGTGAAAATATTGGATGGCAAATAAATAAAGAAGAAACAACGAATATGTTAAAAAGGAAAGAAGTTAATCAATATATTAAAGAAAATACGGATGTGTAAATGTGTAAATACGGATGCGTAAGTGTGTCGTATTGAGACAGCTCTTTTTCTATATATATAATTTTTTAATATGAAACATATTTTTATACAAAATCCTGTCGACTTTATTTTACTTTAACTTGGTATTGCAATATATTTGAAATAAAAAACCTACTATTATATATATTATATATACACGTAGAGTTGAATATTTAAAAAATATATAATATTACAATAACATTAAATAATATTATTTTTTAAATATAAGAGTGGATATATAATCATCTATTAATATTTCAGAAATATTACTTAATATTAAATAATATTGTGCGCGGTAACGGAGTTATTTAAAAAATATGACTTTAATAACCTAACCAATTTATTACACATTAAGTACAAATATCGCAAAAAAAAAAATGTAACTGAAAAGAGCAGCTTTTTCGTCTCAAAGTTTCATGATTCACTCGTGTTACATCGATTACGCATTTTATCTGCGTGCTATTCGCCGAAGATCATCTTACCTCTCGCAAAATCGGTCGGTAACACCGCCGCTGTCGGGACGATCCAGGGCGTGCAGGTGAGACACAGCGACCTCGAACGCGATGTCATAACCTTCGCCGGTGGTGCATTTCGAAAGTGCGCGCGGTCACGACGATGTGCGAACGGAACTCGACGTTGCGTTCACGCACGCGACACGAAACATCCACCAACTTGAAGTATTAACTCGCGGGAGATCGATCGTCACGCACGATGAAGGATATACGAGCAAAAGTCACAAAAAGTCACAAGAAGTCACAAAAAGACGTGAAGAGAACGTAATCGGGAAACCAGTCCACTGGCACGCGACGGCTTTGTAAATTGCGGAGTCACGTGATAACGTTCGAGATATTCGCGCCAATGGTCACGTGACACGTCGTGAGGATCGGAATTGAAAGTGCAACCTCCAAAGCGAAGCTGCATTTGATCTTCTGCTTACAGTCTTCCGGGTGTTTCACTATTTCCCAAGGTGTAACTGTTTATCACACGAAGCTACTTGTACACTCGTCACACAACCGTACGATTGGGCAGCGCGTTGGCCAATGCGAGTTGCCGTCTCGTATTGAGACGGGGAGCGTCGCGACGTGTACACTGAGAGTAATCTCAATAAATTATAATTAATTTCACCCTCAACTATATACATATATATATTTTTTCTTCTGATTTTAATCTAAAAAATTGTAGTGACAATAATCACGTAAGGTTATTATTACTGACACTATACAACACTTACCAGAGAAATGATCTTATTCTGATCTACAATTCTTACAATCAGTGTTGCCACTTTTCTAATGATTTCTCATTCATCCAGACACTAGACTGAAAAAGAAGAGTTCTCAGGCTTTTGTGTGCGTGTGTGTGTGTATGTGTGTGTATGTGTGTGTCCTGTTTATTATTTTATGCATTATAATAATAATTACATAATAGTAATACATTTAAATAATATATATAAAACGTGCAATAATAAACAAGAAAAAAAAAATATATATATATAAAATATATAATGCCAATATTCAATATTCTGCTAATACTGTAGATTTCCAATTTATGTAACGTATATTATATATTTGTACGAGCAATAAATATCGGAACGTAACCGCATTGAACGTTTAATGATTATCACTCTCCATTAGTATATTTTCCTGGATCTGTCAAGGATCTCAAAAAAAAAAATATTCCAATCACAGACAATAATTACTAAGCGTCTACTGAGCTGCTTTCGCTGGCGAGCGCAACCATTCTTTCAGTACTCCAAGAAAATAAATTTAGTTATATATTTGTTACATAGGAAAATTTACTTTTCAATTTTTTAATTTCCAATTTTTTAATTTCGGCAAAATCTGACAAAACCGACAGATAAAATCAAGCAGAACGGGACAAACGTTCAGAAAAGCAAAAAGTGGCAACACTGCTTACAATTGTAGCTTCAAATTCAAAAAAACTTCTTCAATTTTACTTTCGTGAGTACGATCGACAAAATCCGAAAGAGAGAGAGAGAGAGGTACTCGACAATCGCGAGCACCCGCGATTGCCGAAAAGCGCATTATCGAGGCAAAATCGGCGAACGACTCTCGTTCGGAAGCTCGCGACCAATTAACGATCGCAATCCGATGGATGAATTATCGTTGTGACGTGAAACGATGCATCTTCGATCGAGCGATCATCACGTGGCCGCGGCGTCGTTCCCGCAGAGGCCGCATTCAAATTGAACGTAAGAATCGCGGCGACATGGAATCGCTCGGACCGCTTCGAGCACAGACGCGTGCTCGACGAACGACGAACAGTTAAACCCACGCGCTGATCCGTGCTTAGATTCACACCGTGCCGATTCACCGGTCAGCCGCAGCCACCGCCAGACGGGATCGGCCGGCGTAAATTATTCGACGCTGTTTTGCCGTCGCGATTGGCTTAACGCGCCATGCGGAACTGCGGCACGCGCGATCGATAATACAGGTTGTCGCGTGACAGCGGCGGTGTTGGAAGAGGCGGAGGAGGCGGCGGGGGCGGCGGGGCCGATCGCGTCCGACGACAGTCGAGCGCGCGCGAGCCGGCCACGTGTTTTGCAACACGGAAACGCGGAAAAGCCGCGGGAAAGCCGCGCAGCCCGTTTGCGAAAATCGTGAAGTAGAAATCGGGGCCGGCCTTCCGCGCAGCGTCGCAACGTCGTCGTCGTCGTCGTCGACGTTGCCGTCGGAAAACGCGTCACGCGACTGACGCGATAGGGACTTGCCACCCTCGCCGATTCACCCCGGCGTCTCCCCCGACACCCTATCCACCGGCGCTCGCCCCCTTCGATTCATTTCGCTGCCGGAGTTGTTCGTTCGTTCAACCCCGACCATACCGAGGCTGCGAATGTGCATGTTTCGTCTTCATAGTCATCGGTAAGACGCGAATCAACAGACCCCGGCGATACATCTTCGCCGAAATTGCGACGATCTGACTCGTCCGGCAAGGATTCAGAAACTTCCAAAAACGAACCACGACATCGCGATTGTTACTCTTTAAATTCGTTCGTAAATAAATGTTTTTTTAGGAATCTTTTCAAATTTTAACGACACGTTAAGACCTCGAAGGTTAAAATAATTTTTCTAATTAGAAATATATCTTTTTGTTTGCGTGATTTTATAGTTAACATTGAGAGGAGTTCAGCGACAACGTGAATATAGAAAATTACGTATGTTTGAGAGGAAAGATTTCCGGAACACTGAATGGGAAGAGGAGAACACGTTTATTGGCCTGCGTGTCCTCTTGATTTAAATCCCCTAGACTTTTTTGTGGAGAATGTCGAGAAACATTGTTTATAACGACAGCTATACAGGAGAACGTGAGAGGACGTATTTTTGGTGCATATGCGAGTATAAAAACTTCAGAAATGATAAGATAACAGTATTATTTATGTATTGTATTCAAAAATGCATTGAAGTCGGAGGACATTATTTTTAACATCTCCTTAAATAAGTTTTTATCTTGAAGAGTATAAATATTTGATGATTTTCCGTGTTCAAGATTATTTAAAGTCATGTTGTCTTAGGTCGCTGAGTTCCTTTCAATGTTAACTGTAAAATCGCGCAAACCAAAGTATGCACTTCTGTTCAAAAAATTGTTTTGACTTTCAAATCACTTTGTCTCTTAGTGACAAAAATATCATTTGACGTGGAGATCGAGTTTAGCGTATACCGGAAGCATACATGATAACACATAGCACAGAACGTGTTAAGGGGTGTCAAAGTTGATGACGGACATGATAAACGTCGATAATGTAGAGAAAAAAAATGACCTTGAGGAAAAACTTTTTCGTCACGATAATTATTCTCTCGAACGGTGCGATTTTTCCCTTATACATTTTTTCGCATCATCAAAAACAAGTGAAATATTTAAGATGTTCGATATAAGTATACTACAGGACCACCCTGTATACTAAATGCGGAAGTCTATTATATATATTCTGCGTGCATTAGATTTACTCTTTGATTTGGAGCGAAAATATTCATTCCACATGACTCGTGTAAATCCTTACTCTATAAGAGTGAGAAATCGCTTGAATTCGTGTTACCCGCTTTCGACCTACTTATCGAATGAATCTCATTTCAAGAAATTCAAAGTAATTGGTACGTAATATTACTGTTAGAAACATAACAGTTAATACAGGATGACCATTAGGATTGTGTCTAAAGTAAATAGTTATATTTCCCCTCTTCAATTTCGGTGGTAATTTAACTAATTAGATTCCGGTAGGTCTTGAGACCTGTCAATTTTATTTGAGCCGTTTTCCACGCCGGCTTACCAGTGTTAGAAAGAACGCTCTAAGCAAAATGTGTTTCTTATTGATTGCTCCTACAATAAAGGCAAAAACCATACTGAGGCGTAACGCAGATTTCGTATTAAATATGAATCTAAAAAAGTTTCAAACTATCGTTTACACTTATACACACGAAGGTGTCCAAGTGATAACCAAAATGCGTCAAATGCTAAGCAAACGATTAAATTATACTATAAGATGTAATAGACGTGGTGCGCTTTTAAAGTAAATAGCGAACGTTAATAACCCATTTGTCGGTTATATATTTCATGATGAAGTCCGGGAATAGTTTCTTTCACAAAAATAGTCTATATTTTCGTATCACGAGCGTTTATCGCGCTGCGTAAGTATTATAAATCTCGCTATATTAACTGATTAACGTAACTCCGAGCATTTTCATAACCATAAATACATCGTTGGCGTTCGTGACGGAAATTGCTAAAAGTCGGTCGTGCGATAATGGTTTTGCATATATACACTATGCGAATTGGATTTACAGCGAATCGCGTACAACAGTCTCAATTCTAGAAGAGTCGTACAATGAAAATAAATCAGGTGAAGGAGATGCGGCTTATTATTTGTTCATACAATCCTCGCGTGTAGGAGCACCAATAGTCTACTTGTCACGAAAAGATCAATATTTCAAAATGTAATTTTATATATATCCAGATAGGAATATGTATATTCTATGAATATTCATTACAAATATTTGTATATTCATATAATATATTAAAAAGTAACGGGTTTTATGGTTCATTGTGTTGGTACAGCCCTAAAGTTGGCAGCAAAAATTTTCCGCTTAAATAAGTGTTACAATTGATTTAATATTAGAGCTGAGAATTAATTTACACCTAATAAATACGTTCTATACAAATTTTAAATGGCTTATCTATTATAATGTAAATGGGCNCTATTATAATGTAAATGGGCCAGGGGGGAGGGGGGGGGGGAAGAGGGGACTATGTAATCAAAATGATAAATATTGAAAGCTAGATTGACGGAATATAAAACCTGGCAGACTTTCATCTTACATAATAACGACTATATATATAAATATTTTATAACCAGTTTTAAAAAAGTTATAAAGATGCCACTATAAGACTAATTCTATATAAAGAACATGTTATAATTTTTTTTTTATATAAATGAATTTTAATTTTATTATGTCTTTTAGTAGTACAGCGATAGAAATATACGAAATTCTTTCAGCTCGTTTCTCTTCCAAAAGAAGTGAATTAAAATGTTCACGAAATATCGGAAACAAATCTAAAAAGAACGCGACATTAAGGGAATCAAATTGAGCAGTTTTCCACAACGCGAAATATCAGGTCTCATTTATTCTTCTTATTTCCGCAATAAAGTGGCAATCGTCTACATTTGGTTGCAAAATAATTTCGACACAATAAAATTGAGACCGCAGCAAACTGTCGCAATTGAGAGTTATTGCCGATGAGCTTGTGAAATAATCAAGAAGCAGTGGAAGTATACATAAAATATAAGATTTTATAATTCTCCGAGCACCAATATTGCAACGATGAAATTTAGGATACTTTTGAATGTACTATGTTATCGTGTTATTTTCATCAAAATTTTCTGTATCATCACTTTGGCTCTTGTCATCGATAGTCAATTATGAGAATTTATTGTGCTTTCAACTTGTAATTTTCTATCTAGGGAATGGTATATATAGTATACATGACTAACGGTATTGTTTATCCTCAGACAACTCTTGTTATCTTTGTAACTTATAACCCATTTTCAATAGTGTGGTGCACAAGTTGCCAGCTTGTCATATGTTTTCTATTGTTACGTGAGATGTAAAAACCCAGATAAGCTTAATAATTTATTATTTGTAATAATTATAAGTATATATTTATTTGTTTATTATATCAATTGTAACATCTATCTATCCATCTATCAGGTTAGTCAGAAAGTCTTTTCGTATTTTATGCAAAAAGGAAAAAATTGTTTTCACGAGAAGCGTTATTTTAATCGTCAATATGATCTGCCTCGTCTAATGACCTCCTCCCATCGATCTACAAACTTGAAAATTTCGTCTTTGAAAAAGGCACTAGCCCTGGGACTCAAGAAAAGATCCAACTCCCTTTTTGGACTTTGTCCATGTATATGTATTTACAATTGCCGTTAGTTCAGCATGCATTTACATAGCGAACAAATTCGCCATTCCTGATCAGTGAGAATAAAACTTATATTCCAATGCTTCGAACATAAAAATGCTTATCGCTGAAGGAAATAACTTTGAGTTATTTACACTGGTAAATTTTCTAGAAGTCGGGCTTGTAAAAACTTAAGTCTATGCAAATTCTGTACATCTATTTACAAGTTTGTTAAATAATTGACAACTATTTCTATGCGGAACGTCATATAAATTCTAGTCCTTCGAATTTCTTATCCATCACTTTGCTTTCAGCCATTATCACAGTTCCTTCCGTCGTGAAAGCCATAATGTAAGTAGCTGTCCGCCCTTGGTATTCTTCGGTCTTCAACGCTATAACGATAGAATCCTGCGAACCAGGGAGGAACTTGAAACTAGAAAAACCTCTGGTAGAAATGAATTCCCCGACATAAGTAACCTGAAACAAATTCCCAGCATTTTGCTCATCTTTTTCTCCTTTAGAACTCTGTCATTGTATTGATTTGTAATTACATATTGTATTAATCCACGTACTTTGATATCGACAAAATTTTCATCCGCGGTCAACATGACATTACAACTCATGATTTCGTCTCTGGTCTCATTGTAACGTTCATGGGAGCATCTTCTAGGTAAGAAGAACCAGCTCTTGTGTATGTCGCTCCAGGCACCAGATTCATGTATCATATAACCTGTGCAAAGTGTAAATATAATTAAATTATAATATGATTACAGCAGATTATTTAATTCACATACCTGGATACTCGATGTTAATCGCTTGCCTTAATCGTTTGTAATAAGAAATCCAATTGAGAGAATGTGTCTCCCCACGTGGTGACACCACTTTTATCCACAATGGATTGTTGTGCTCGAATTCTCCAGACGGTGTGGTCCATTCTTTTCCCATACTGCCAACATACAATTGCTCATCTTTGATGGTTGCCCACTCTGATTTAAATCCTACAAATACGTAATTAAAACTCGAATGAAAGAAAAGAATATTCCGTAAGAATAATAATACGAGCAACAGTAATATCGATTCGACACTGTATGGTTTACCTTTATGATTTCTACCGTTTCCATCCATTAAGATCACCCATGGATAAGCCTGATCGCCTTCGAGGAAGTATATCATTCCTGTGCGATCATCGAAGGACAATAAACGACCGTCAAACGTCACCAGTTCTGACAGTTCCATACCGCGTCCTTTCATAGACAATGATGAGGATAATGTAATAGTCGTGTCATCCCAGATAACAGAGAGAAAATTTGTGTTAGGATTCCAATAGAGACTGCCGGTTTTCATGAGACTGTGCCATGTATCCTTCTTATCCGGAAGCTTGGAATCGTGGTCGAGGTCACTTACTATCGCTATCCTGTACGTGATACCCATGGAAGTTCTGATGGGTGTCGAGGTGGGATAAGTTTTGTTATACTTGTAATAATGACACTGCGTAACAGTTGACGTGCTCGGTGGCGAGCACATGACGGTGTGCAGCAGCGGATACGCGAGGAAGAAAATCGGCACGCTCAGGACGAGGAGAATCAGCAAAATGCACTGGCTCTGCACGCGGAACGTGCTGTTCGCCACCCGATAGACGTGGGGTGCGCGCAACGCTTGTCGCCAGTCGCGCAGATAAGACATTGTTTCTTTGTTACTGTTCCTCATTCGTCTCACCCGTACGTCACCAACCGTGCGATCAGGTACGCGAAGCAGTGGCTCCACGTCAAACTCCAATAAGCATGTTCCCGGCTTGTCAACGCTGGACGTGCCTAACCTAACTTTTTCTATTTCTTCTAGGGCCTTGTGTCTACAGGCAGGTTCCGCTTAACGCTCCCAACGATTGAGAGCATCGTTCTGTCCTTGTTTAACATCCAAGAGAAACAAGGATAGGTTGGCCGCGTTCAGCAGAACCGTTCACTTTGCCGTTCGAAGTTTTCTGTGCTAAGATTGGATTATTCTTTTAGATCTAGAAGAATAATCCAATCTCAGGACAGAAAACTTGCAACAGTGTGAAATAAACGTTCCGCTGAACGCTGCCATTGGTTGCTTTCAGAAAACACAACAATTGTACAACGGTTGAATAATTCGTCAATATAATTGGTCTAAATTTAGGGATCTAACAGTAAAGACCAATAATCATTGACCGCTCGCTGATCGTGATTGCGTTTTCTGAACGCAGTCAGTAATGCTCGTGATCGTTGCGAGCGTAAGTGGAACGCATCCTACGATGCTAGGTCTCGGACCGAGATTTAGTATTTATGTTGGTAGATGCTTGAAAAATATTATGGCTGCGTTCGGAAACGCACACTATGTGCACACAACTAGACACTAGCCGTTTGGAAACGTTGAAGTTGCGTTCGGAGACACACATTACGTGCACACCACTAGACATTAGCCGTTTGGAAACACTGAAAGCTACTTGTGGCTTTTGCCCAGGACGCGAAAATGATTGTCGCGCGGCAAGAAGCGACACGACAGCCAATAAACTTTTAGTTCTTATGGAAAAACGGCACGTTGATTGGCTACCGACGGCAAGCGCTGCCGCGTCCTATGGGCAGAAGCCATTACACCAAACTCCGATTAAAGTTGCGTTCGGAAATCCACACTAAGTGCACACCACTGGACACCGATTGTTCATAGTTCACCAGTCACCCACCTGGTGGGTGACTATCGGATAGGTCGGTGATGGGCGGAGTTTAAGTTCCCGAGGGTATGGAAAATGCACTCTTGGAAGTGGAGGAATAATACTAATAACATGACTCCCTGCACTAGAATGATTAACAAGAAATTTTTTATTTAATAAAAAAAACGATTCAAAAAATGAACAAATTATTTAAAATTGTATAAAAATCTAAATATTCTGGACTTTATTATAATTAAAATTAATTAATTTCGTAAATCTGTCTTGTTTCTACTGTATTAAGGATCATCAGAAAAGCATTAGCTACAATAAACCATATTTATTTTATTTTATATATGTATATATGTGTGTGTGTGTATGTATGTGTTAAAATAGTCATAATAACAATTTCATAAAATTAGAAATTAATCAATTGCAGTTTGATTTGTAAATGCTATCTCTTTATAAATATAATTGTAAATCCGCGAAGTATGTAACTCATGAAAAAACGATATTTTAACCATACGTCATAATTAATTAATTTCAAATCGTATGGAGAAATTTGAGACATAATCAGAAATTTCGAACGTAAAGTGTTCAAAAGAAATATTCGAAAATATTCAGAAATATTCCGAATTTTTCAATTTTTTGTCTAAGTTTTTTTTTGAAAAACATTCCAATCCGTATGAAAGATCCGAAACATTCTGAGAAAGTCTGACAATTTTCATTCTGAGAAATAATATAAAAGATGAGATATTTTTCACAAGGGAAATATTCTGACAGACGTATGTTTTCAGATCCGTAACGGATCTTGAAGAATATACCCGTGAGCGACGATGAGCGCTCATATAATCGTTACGTCTTCTAAACGCAGATTTTCACCGGTCGCGCGGTCGGCTAGGCGTTAACATTCGTTACGAACTTACATTGTTAAAATAAAGCAAGAATGTCACGCGAGCGCTTCCTTCCTCCTGTAATACCGTGCGCGCTCAGGGTCACGATACTTCTAGGCCAAAATCAATAGTAAGTGTATACACGACGACTGGAGAGGTGGTGGTAGCAACATCGCCTGCCGTCGACAGGGTTTAGTCAACCCGATGCACCGCGAGAACGCGGCTCGCGATAGGACGGCGCGTGTTGCGCCGCGATCAGCTTGCATTCGTGCAGCGCACGAATTGACGGTCTTCCTCCGAAAAGTAACGAACTGATATTACAATAATACACCAGTATTCGTTGATCGTCGAATTTTCGCAAGAAACGAGAACAACATTGAGATATTTCACACCGCATTCAGCTAGTCGCTAATTCATCATTTGCATCCGCATTTTCCGTTTTCGAATAACCGAAGGATAATTACGGAAATCGCTCTTAGTCCGATGTATTTACTCAACAGACACGAGATATTCAACTAATTCCGGCTTTTATCGTATCTCTCTGTACGCGTGTTGCGAGGAAACACCTTCGACAATATTTTATACACAGAGTAATTATATATATGACTGCGGAAAGTTATATAACACATAACGACCGCGACGCGAGCGTGTCGAATTTCTTCATCGCATCGGGCACATCATCTCCGTAATATCGCGTTATATCGTCGAACAAATCCGTCCTGGGTCAGCGTTGGCGTCCGGTCGCGGTTGCCGATCCGGAAAATCGCGTAACCGTTTCACCGCCGAGTGACATTTCATCCTTGAATATGGAGAACGCGTTTAAAATAACTCTCCCTGCTGCGCGATCGGTGCGAGGAAGAGAAAACGCAGTGACCGCAAGCACAAAGCTCGTTACATCTTTGACAGTCGCGATAGCGCGACGACGATGACGATGCTGCTGGCGCGCTCGTGACGCAAATGCATGAGTGATTCCGTAAAATGTTCATTGCCGAACGTCGGCTTCTTCGAGACGGGCAAATAAACAAGCGGAAGCTTCGAACGGATCACAGCGGTGATCGGTACGCTCGTACGAACAAATGACGTTTCTGATCGACGATCGTACGCATTGGCAAGATACTTTCCACTTGATGAGCACGTGGAGGCTCGACGGGTTTCGGAGAGTGCTATTATTGTCCGAATATTTCCCACGAAGTCGTATCTCCGCGACAATGGCGACAAGGGAAGGAGCGACGAAGGATTGGAGCATCGCCAGGACCGGCATATCCTTGTTGTTGAATAACAAAACCGAGGAGGCAGAGGCATTGTTTACCGGCCATCCTTATAGCTTCCACGTCAAAACCGGCCGTTGCTTTGTTCTCTTCATGGTACGTAATCGCGCGATACAGAGCGTATATCGATCCCGGTGTGCTCCAACGAAGTATACTTAACGTATCCAAGGTCGCGAAACGGATATTGTTGCCTAATCGGTTTTAATAATAAACGTGACACACGTAGCTGGAAAATATCAAATCGATACCGATGCCCCTTTGTTTCGTTATAATAGGCGTATTAAATAAAGATTATCTTCAATCATGCACGAAATGAATCATACGATGCACGAAACGAACTCACGAGAGAAGGAAGCGCGCTTCGTCCTGTGACAGGCAGACTTAAATTCTTCATTTTCCGAGATATTAATAATTTTTAACGTGATTTAATCAACCACACGCAGAATGCCCTGATGACCTACGAGCACGACAAGCTTCAGCAAGCCATGTTATTGCTGAAAGACATGGAGCGGGAATGTGCGGGCGACATCGGGTGGCTAAAATCCGTGAAAAGCAAAGTGTTCAAGACGGAAGAGACCGGGGTAAGTTTCCGATTGGTGCAATTCCGTTCGGTTTGAGTATTTCTCATGAGACACGACCATGAATCCTAAGGCTGGAAGCTGAAATCACAATTTTAAGTACAACTTACGTATGCAAGCGTCATATTAGAAATAGAATTCAAAATTGCGTCGATTTTAACCCCTTTACATTTCAAAAGCGCTGTAGCAAAGTCCGAAAAATGCTGGGTCGAAAGCACCCATCGAATTGCAAATCCGCATATAAGTCTGACTTTTTAAATCTAAATCTAGCTATCGCTAGTTATGTTAGATGATGTTAAATGATTTAGAGCCCGAAAGACACGCCGCTGCAACGTTTTCCGAGTTTTATCGGAAATTTTGACTACTGCACCTTTTGGAGCATTAGGAATTCAATTTTGAATTCTTTTATTGGCAAGTACCGCGTTACTCATAACTACAAGCTACATCTTTTGCAATAACGACTTAGTAACAGTGTTATTATTTTTTTCATTATTAACGGAAACAGTGATGTATTTTTTAGATAACAGTAACAAATTCGCTTATAAATAAATTTATATACTATGTGATGACCCTCTAGAAATTATGCAATTTTTGTACGGAACAATTTCTCATTCCCATGGGAATATGGCAAAAATGCAAGGATTTCTAAAAGTTTTTTTTTATTAAATATAAAAAGTAAATATTTCGTATTTCCAATTTATTTCATAATAGTAGACAATATATAGTCATTATTTGCATAGTTCATTTGCCTTAAACATAACAAATAATACTTGATAAATTAAGTTTTCTTTAAATGTGACGTATATAACGGAGTTACTCTCAATAAAGAATATATTTTTAAAAAATATCTTGTCCAACCTTGATTAATTATAACGCCACAAATTGCAACAAAATTAAATTACACTTTTCATATATAAGTTCGACACTGGGAATCGAATTTAACGAATTTACGTTAAATTGAAACTTGAATTTTCAATAAAAGTTCATTACGGAAATTTATTCCTTCGGCAAATTGATTCTATTGCGGGCGTATGACACGGTGACGAAATGTTCGCGATTGTGCTAACTTAGGTACATATTTAGATACGCAAGGTGGCACTTTAGATATAAGACACGATAGATATGAGGAAGATTAATCACGAAACTAAACTAATTGCAGAAGGACTATGTGAACAAGCTGGAGCGTCAGATCGTTTTAGCGGATTCGCAAGTATGCTCAGCGATATTAACGCTTCTCCAGCAAGAATTAACCGGATACGTTCGCGGTGGTTGGATGCTTCGCAAGGCTTGGCGGGTTTATCAACACGCACACACACAAATCTTACAACTTTATTATCGCACCTTCGGTACAAATCCGACCGGTGCGTTATCATGTAATGTAACGTAGTAAACCGCGACGGAGATATTACAAACTTAACCGATTCATTGTAAATGCAAGTCTAAGATTTAACATTTTATTCGTTATACTAGAATAACGTTCATTTAACTAGTAAGCGATCTTTATTATTATTTTCGGTAATTATTTACATCAAGAGACACCTTTACCTTACACCTTTTCACAATGATTTCAACTTGCATATAGACTGTAAAAATCATAATTCTGAATAATCATCAAAAAAGTTTTAATCAGTAATCATTATTTACCAAAAATTATTAGCAAAAGTAATTTAATGAAAAAAGACTTAATCTTTTCTCCATACATGTATGTTAAAAAAAAAGTTGATTTCGATCATTTAAATTTCAATAAGTACGAACTTTATATTATTTCTGTATTTAGGCATACGTCATCTGCAAAATCATCTTTTTCTTATTTATAATCTTTTTTTATCAAGTATATATATATAAAGTATCGTACATATTAATGTTTGATAATACTTAATAATGACTAGGTTAATACTCTTTGAATACAACAAAATAATATATCTCGCTAAGATAATTGGAGTATTTTCATGGAGTATTCTTGATAACATAGTTTTCTTGTAGGACTCAGTCCATGCTATGATACTTCCATGAGCAACGGATCTTCCCTGCAGAGCCCTCAAAGCCCGGGATCTTCGGAATGGTCAATACCTTCCTGCAACGGTTATACGAACAATGTGACACCTGTTCCATCCCCATCAGGTCTGCGAAGCTCTCTATCAATGTTGTTCTCGCTCACTGGCATCACGTCCGAACAACAGACACCGTAATTGCTGTTTCTTCTTACAAAATTTCCCCCTCCGTCTTTTTCGCTCGCCAGCAGGAAATAAACCGTCGAATTGATATCAAAACTGTCGAAATTCCATAGAATTTAAATAATGTTCAGAATTTAAAGCATTTCGAAGCTCATTTCAAAGTCTGCTTTGTATATTTCTTAAAGGAACAGATCATTTGTGACATGTATTTATTTGCGAAGTACTTAAACATGGCAAAAAAATATTTTCTATTAGATCATCAATATTGCATCACTTCGATATCGAATCGGTGCTATTTTAATTCACTTTTTATATATAATAATTTCAGCCATTATATAAATTATTATTATTTTGAACAAAATTATTACTATTTCGAACATTGTGGCCTTCATAAAACTTTGGGATCAATCGCCCCACATATTACTCCTTGTCTTTAACGTAAAATTTCCTCCTCTATCGATTTCCGCCGTCAAAAATAGGTAATTCCATTAAGAAAAAAATTGAAATTAACTTTCATTTGATCTTGAACAATGACATCTACATAAATGTCACTATCGGATCCATCTCCAAAACCAAAAACTTTTTTAGAGAATATTTTTCCATCTGACCATTTCCTACGAAGTTAACAGGGATGGTTAATTAAAGTGGGACATCCTGTATAGAGTATATCCCATTTTAACATAGACATTAAAATATCTCGAAAACAATACATTTTAGAAAAAAAAATATTTCAAATAAAAGTTGTATGGTTTGAAGAGAACTATTAGATGAGCTATTTAGATTACGAGGCTCACTTTGTGCTCAATGAGGCCTAGGTTGATTTCTTTCGATGGAAACATCTGTTTTATTGCAGATTCGTATTCTATGGAAAAAATAAGGAAATTTTGTTCCTGGTTCATTTTTCGCTAAACCTCCTCCAACCGGCACAAAATAGCAAAGTTCTTATCGAACTCAAAGTTCTTATTTTGAAACACATTCCGGCCAATGAAGGTAAGATCGGAGACAATCAACCTGAATATGTCCTTAGGGGTTGAATCGTCTTGCCTTCATTGGCCGGAATATATTTCAAAATAACTTTGAGCGCTATTTTGCGCCTGTCGGAGAAGTAGCAAAAATTGCCTAGAATAAAATGTCTTTATTTTTTTCCATACAATACGAATCTGCAATAAAACATGGGCATTTCCATCGAAAAAATCAACCTGGCCTTCATTGGGTCCAAAGTGGGTTCCGGATTCAAAATGTAAGTAGTTCATCCGATAGCCTTCTTCAAACAACTTTTATCTGAAACATTTTTTTTTCAAAAATGCATTATTTTCGAGATATTTGATGTCTAAAATGAAAATGGGACACTCTATATATATATACTAAATATTTAAAAGAATATCGAATAATAAACAATAAACTATCATTAACACGATAACAACTATCATTCCGGAACACACCGAGAATTTGTGGAACTCACACGTGAATTCAACGATATTAAATTCAACGATAACTGAAGCGAAATGTACTTTGCAGCTTCGTGGAGCCAACGGAGGTATCCCGTCTGATGTCGGCTGTCAGTTTCGGCTATGGAATATACCAATTGTGTGTGAGCCTTCTGCCGCCTTCCTTATTGAAGGTAATCCACTTCTTGGGCTTCGAAGGCGACAGACAGGCTGGTCTCACTGCTCTTATGTACGCACGACTCAGCGAAGATATGCGTGCACCGCTCGCCACGTGAGTATGATTTAAATTTCCATTTTTGCAACAAAATGCGTCATTCTTCCATATATATTATTATAATGTAATATGTAGGTTCCGCAGTAGACGTCCCTTACAAAAATGTATTACCGCTAAGCCAGTAATTAATTACTTATTTTGAATATTTAAAACATTGTTGTTGGTAATTCATAATGATTAAATTATAGAGCGCGCAGCGATATCAAATATTCCAGTACTTAGGGTTGCAGTGATTAAATACGAGCTTATCATTAATGTGAATACCATTAATATGAATACTTTAAACACTAATGTTTAATAGCGCAGTAGTGATAAAATATACCTTTACAGAAATTCGATACTGAGAATTACTGAATTCGCAATGATTAAATATTGAGAAAGCAGTGGAAATATACAGTAGATAGTGAGAAATATGAATCAATCAAGATATTGAATCAATATATTGTGTCATAGATTATCTCTACTTTGGTATCACACAATAGTACGTCCATTTTTTGCACTCGACGGATCTAACGTGAAGGCAGGTGTCGCGGTGGCAAAACAACTAATCGCTGAGTGTCATACCGAATTCCATGATTCCGCTCTCTTTCTTTTCTTCGCTGGAAGAGTGGAGCGTCTGGAGGTAATGTTATAAAATAAATTAAGTGCACATATGCTAATTAATCGAGGATTGGGAAATGACGTCACTCGTAATACCCTTACTGTTACAAGTTATTTTTTTTTTCATGTTATTTTGCAGTCAAACGTCAACGGAGCTCTTGAGGCTTACGGCAAAGCTGTCGAGACTTCGACTCAGCGAGAAGTCAGATTGCTGTGCTTGCACGAGGTTGCTTGGTGCCATTTGATACGCTTGAGCTACGAGGAAGCGTATCGGTCTTTATTGCAGCTGCAACATCAGTCCAGGTGGTCCAAGAGCTTCTACGCGTACTTAGCCATGGGTAACTTCAACATGGCCTTGACGTTTGAGTAAAACGGATGCGGATTTCTTTACTACGATTTATGTTTGCAGTATGTTGCGGCGCAAACGGCAAATTCGATGTTCTCCTGACAACCTACGATAAGATAATCCACTGGTTCCACGAAATGAACGGAGAGACGCAACTTGGTGCTTTCATCTTGCGCAGAGTGCCAAAACTCGTCGACAAAGACACAGGAGGGAATCCTTACACAGTCCTGTATTATAGATTACTCGTGTACGAGTTGTTGTACTTGTGGAACGCCATGCCATCCTGCTCCGTTGAATCCTTGCAAGGAATATTATTGGGTAATATATATTGCGCACATACAGGGCGTATAAAAAGTAGCGGAATCCCAGAATATCTTCTATCGTAAAATGTTCCGCCCTATTATCCATTTCTGGAGTTAAAAATCAGAGTTCCCATTGAAAAATTTCAAGTTGGCCTTGAAATGATCTATGAATTTGACCTTTACGCCGGCACCAAAGTCATCATCATATGCCCCTTTTTAAATCCTGCAAATTTCGTATATGAAACTTTCTTCTTTGTTCGTTACCTCCCGAGATATTTCGGGGTTCCGGTACTTTTTATACACCCTGCATATCCGATTGCTATTCTGTATTCTGCATATTGATAGCCGAGATTCCAAACGGACAGAGAAGTCCAGTGGAACGTTTGAGTAATCGAGATCTACTCGAATATTATAACGATTTTTCTCTTTTACAAGGTCATTTTCGCATCAAAGTCTCTTCATTCCTTATTAAATTCCATACAATTTTATTTTATCGGCAGAATGTAAAGGAAACCGAACCGAAGAGCCAATGGTGGGTTTAACAGACCTCGTCGAGGGTGCAGCGTGCTCTTACTTAGGAGACACGGAGGCGGCCATTAAGTGTTATCGAAATTGTCTGAAACGGCGATATCCGTCCAAGGACGAGTACGACCAACATGTGAGCGCATTTGCTCTTTACGAATTAGGTAGCAGCCTTTGTAACAATAACGTAAGTATATGTAATATACAAGGTGTGTCACTGTGACAACCCGAACCAACATTTTTATACGACAATTGGCGATAACACAATAGCAACTCCACAGATATTTGGCTATCCGGGCACGAATGAAAACATTTTAACCTACTTTAACCTACTTTAACGACTTATTTTTTCATATGAAACCACTCCTTTTTAAATTGTACCACTAGATTGGTGACACTTTTTTCTATATATTGGATGTAATCTACTTGATAAATTCATAAATCGATGATTGATTATGCTGGTAGCGTCAAGGAATAAATGACTTTATCATTTAATTTCATTTTCTCTGTGCAGTTTTACATTCTCTGTTTCAGAATTCCGACGAAGGCAGAAGTTTTTTAACGAAAGCACAATCTCAATACAGAGATTACGATTTCGAAAGTCGTCTCAACGTGCGTATACATTCCGCCCTGAAGAATGTACAGTGACATCAATTCAAAATCGTCCGATATTACTATGTGAAACAACTTTGACATTAAAAACAAAAAAAAATGTATCCGCATATAGTCATGTATACAGTAATATATATAGTAGTCATTTCTTATTGTAAGTACTGATGATTCACGTGAAACAATACCGAAGTATTGGACTCAATGACTAGTATAGGTTTTGACCTTTTGAAACACACATTTGTCCTCCCGCTTATTTTTCATCAAATTTGGTATCCCGAGGATTTTGGAATCGCCCATCACAAATCTGAGGTCAAAATTGAAAAGTTTAAAAAATCTAAGATAATGGATTCAATATGGAGGGCCGAAATTGCAACTAATCAACCAAATCACTTCAAATTTAAGTTATTCTAGAGTTTTTGGGAACGCTGATTACAAATCTTAAGTCAAAATAGAAAATTTGTCACAATTCAAAATCCAATCCAATATGGCCGACTATAATTGCAGAAAATTTAGAAAATTAATTCAAATTTCGGAATTTTTGAGGTTGATAACGAATCAAAGGTTTTGAGATTGATAACGAATAAAATTGGGAAATTTCGAAGGATCTATTTTTCATCTCGGAAGCTTTGAAAGTTATAGACATTGAGTTTTTGCATGTTTGATCTACTATTTTATATTCCACATTTCGAATTTTATAATTTTTCAATTTCGACCCCACAATTCGTAATCAGCGATCCGAAAATCCTCTGAATACCACATTTGAAGAGAATTGCTTGCTTTGCTGCAATTTCGGTCCGCCATATTGGACCGACACCTTTGATCTTGAAAATCTTTTAATTCTGACATCAGATTCGTAATCAGCAACCTCAAAATAACCTATATATAAATTTTAACACCTAAATTTTGGAAAAATCGCTGGAAAATGTATTTTCTCTGAAGAAACATTTTTCTTAATGTGGTTATTTATAATACTTTTGCAATTAATGAAATATGTATTTGGATGATTTTTTTACATTCATCTATTCCTAAGATACTACAAAAATTAAAAAAAAAAAACAGTCCAAATATAGCAATGAAAATTTTATCGACAAAAATCTGAAAAAAGAAAAGTAGAAAATATACTTCCCACCGTGCTTCTAAGGATTACTCACTGGTGCTATGTTACTCACAGGTGCAGTATTTCACATGCGTAATTAATTCTTGAGAGACTTGGCACTAGTGATTTATTACTAGAATTATTTAGTAGACTAGTGATTATTGCTGCCGTTATTATCACTTGATTACTTTACATTATTAGTACCTCTGTAATTTGAGTACTCAAAATCATTAAGCACTAGTAATAAAAATTACTGAATTATAGTAATTTATTACTGACCAGCCAATAATCCATTTTGCAAGAGCTCTGTATATAAAAAGGAACATAAATGCTTATTTATCTATTAACAATATCGTTGCACGATAATCTGTGAATGTTGATTAAAGAAAATAGTTACAAAAATCAAAATTCGCGCCCGCAGTAAATAGCGTTTTCGTCGTGGTAGTGTGGAGGTTGGAAGGGATAGCCCGGGAAGAATCTAGGCATGTGCCCACTGAGTACTCGACACGGAGAATAAGAAAGACTCTTTTATTACGTAGAGAAACACTAGAACGATGCAGCTCTAACGGCGGGCTAGTCTCCACTGTGCTACTGCCATACAGCGACAAAAGACTAGCCGTGCAGAGACAAAAGAATAGCTCGCCGGCGTGTGGTGGGGGGCGAGCTCGTATGCAAGCGAGATAGAGTATAGCCGCCACAGTAGCTAAGCCGTCTTATACACCCGGCTCCACCGCTGAGTTCGAAAGATGTGTCCAATAGTAACGTGGTCGATCGGTACCCGCCCCACCACGATTATCCGACGTCGAGATATCGATATAGAGTTCGCGATATAGAACGTTCAAAATTAGCCAATCACCGTACCGTGAGAACACTCGCTTCGCCGACAGCTCGCAAGTGGGACGCCGCGATTGGCCGAATTCAAACGTTCTCGAATATCATCGCCGACGTCTCGATAACTTTTCTTCTGTTCGAACTTCCACCACCTGTCATTCGTCCGGGACACCCCGTAGAAAACTGCGAGCCGACGTATACTACGCGCGTACGCGTTTATCGAGACAAGTCACGTGGGTAAGCCGTTCGTGACGGCGCGTGGGTGGTGCGTCAAAATGTTGAACGGATGTCGGTGAACTGAATATTTCGCGGTGCTACGAACACATGGCGTATCATTCGAGGGACACGAGTGAACCGGCGATCGCGAAGACGGAAGGATGAATGAAACCGAGGAGCGATGGAGCGGTCGCAGTTTTATCGTTAACGATTCACCGCCGTCAGGATTCGACATTAAACGTCGATATTAAACGTTATCGCAGTTGAAGACACGAGAGAAGGAAGGGCGAGAGCGTTAACGTCGCTGTCGTCGAAATTATTAACTGCGATAACGAGAGCGAGAACAAATTGAATCTCGAGCATGAATCAGAAGGTGGTCACCGCGTTTTACCTGTTGTTAAACATAGTCTTCTCGATCGCGATCGTACTGCTGAACAAATTGCTCTACGTAAACACCGGTTTCCCGAACATCACGTTGTCGATGATACACTTCATCATGACATTCGTCGGCTTGATCGTCTGCGAGAAGCTGGACGTATTTTCCGTCAAGGATGTCGACATCAAGGGGATGATACTGATCGCCATGACCTTCTGCGGATTCGTCGTCCTGACAAATCTGAGCTTAGCTCATAACACAATCGGCACGTATCAAGTAGCAAAGATGTTGACGACACCCTGTGTGATAGTGATGCAGATGATATTTTATAGGCAGCGATTCAGCACACCTATTAAGCTGACGTTGATACCAATCACATTAGGAGTCGTAATTAATTTTTACTACGATATACAGTTCAACGTCATTGGAACTGTTTATGCAGTACTGGGAGTGGTTGTAACGTCTCTGTATCAAGTGGTAAGTTACATCCTGGTATGATGTATTTTTAACATGTAAAAAGAAGTCTTTTCTCTCTCTCTCTCTTATAGATGGTGAACAGGAAACAGAGGGAATTTCAAATGGATCCGATGCAATTATTATTTTATCAGGCACCATTGTCTGCTATCATGCTCTTCGTTGTTATTCCAGTTTTGGAGCCGGTTGGACAAACATTCACTCATAACTGGTCGCTATTGGACATGGTATATATCTCCTAGAATATTTTTTGCTTCCATCAAGCTGCATAAATATATTTTTATACCATTGATTAAGGCTGTGTGAATATATTTTTTATACCATTGTTTCTTCTTGTGTCCGCAGATCATGGTGGTATTGTCCGGAGTGGTTGCATTTTTCGTGAATTTAACTTCCTACTGGATCATAGGCAAGACCTCGCCTTTGACGTATCCTTGTGTAAAATTGTCTCGAGAAATGCCCAAACTTGCACGTTAAAACGCTTTAACAAATATACAGATACAACATGGTTGGGCATTCCAAATTCTGCCTGCTCCTGTTGGGCGGTGCGATACTCTTTCGCGAAACGTTAGCGCTTAATCAGTTGATCGGTATAATATTGACGTTAATAGGGATCATGCTGTATGCTCACGTCAACGTAAGTCCAGCTTCTGCGTTAAATCTGTGGATCTCTCCGTCGGTATTGCCCGTTTTTAATCTGTTCGTTCTGCTTTGCAGATGAAAGATAACCATACCGTAGCGCCGGAGTTCGAGGCAAGGGAGACAAAGCCGCTGCACAAAGTGTGATTCCGCTTCCGGGGAGACCAGCCGATCGGGTGAACTCGAAATTGGAGGAAGTTTATCAGCCAGTACTTAAAAGTCTATATGTTTTCCTAAGTCTTAAAAATCTGTGTTACAATAAAAGTTTAATACGCCATCCGAACTAGTTTCTGAAGCCTCCGAGAGTCCCGATATCGAAATACCGTGAGCATGTTATTGATTAAATGGTTCCTCGTACTATTCCATGTAAACGAATACCATCGAATACTTGGATAGGGAAGAACAAGTTCTCTCGATCGTCGATTGCAAACGTTTCTCTCTTTTAAAATACTGTAAGCATGTATTGATTGAATGGTTTCTCGTACCATTCCGTGTAAACGAATACCATCGAATACTTGGATGGGAAAGAACAAGTTCTCTCCGATCGTCGATTACAACCGTTCCTCTTTTCCTAGAAAAAGAATGCAGGAACAAATGTCTCACATATGCATTCAACAAGTCAATTAACGTCGGTGAACGAAACTAAAAAACCTGTACTTACGTTTAGGTGACAAGCGGGACCGCGACGGGCGGATAAAGCAAAATAAAACACTCGCCGGAACTTCGCCGATGAAGCATTAGTCCAGTCTGCAGGGCAAAAGGGTCGCCGTCACACCTAGGGTTTGTAGTGGTTGCAACTTAACGGAACGTCAACTCATGCAGATTCGTCATTAGTTTTACCCAGGTGCATCGGACCCGGTGGTAACCTTTCCACAGGGCCTTTATATACGGACCGGCCGGTACTTACAGTACCTTCGCGAAACCGTCGTCGTCTGATGAGACATCTAGATTTCAAAAAATGAATTAAGGGCTGCTCGCGCGTATTTTTTGAGCGGAGTTGTCGCTTGCGAAGGTATTCGGGATTGTCCTCTCGGTGCGAGTGTGTCGCGGCCGTTCGCGATTTATACGTCGCGCCTTCTCACGCACGAGAGAAATAAGCCTCTCGTTGCATCGCAGATAACAGGACTCGCTTTTTACAGGAGACGTCGGCTGACCGGCGATCGGATCGATACGTGCTTGAGCTTACGAACGTGGCGCGCAATTAGCGGAAAGCTCCCCTTTTGAATTCCGCCAATGGCCGGAGCGCCGTGTGCTTTCAACTCGATGGCGACTCCCCAACGACGAAAGGGGGCAGCAGCGTTGACGGGAAGCCGCGAGGGAGTCGATACGAACGGTTTTATCAACCAAACAACGCAGTTAGCAACGTGTTTTCGCGCGCCTCCTTCGCGTCGAGCGTCTTTCCGATTTGCGAAGAGCCGCAGCGATGAAGATCGAGGAAGTGAAGAGCACCGCCAAGACGCAGAGGATCTCCGCGCACACGCACATCAAAGGCCTAGGCCTCGACGAGAATGGAGTCGCGATCCAAAACGCAGCCGGCCTCGTGGGTCAGGAATTGGCGCGAGAGGTTAGTTTCTCAAGATCGGCTTTCCTCGCGTCAAAATCTTGCGTTATCGCGCGAATTTACACGGTTTTCCCGGTTGTAATAAAAGTGGTATCCTTCCAAGCCAGAATCCACGCACTTCTTCGCGCGATTTCTCCGTACTCGTCGTATGTTTTCCCGTGCCGACGATGAAGGAAACGATACACATTAATTAATACCGTCGTTAAAGTGATTCAACAATGAATTGTAACGCCGATAATTGTACTTACAGGCAGCTGGAGTTGTTGTCGATATGATTAAGTCAAAGAAGATGGCGGGACGCGCTGTATTATTGGCCGGTCCCCCGGGCACAGGCAAGACCGCCATAGCTCTCGCCATTGCTCAGGAACTCGGTAACAAGGTGCCCTTTTGTCCTATGGTGGGTTCGGAGGTTTACAGTTCCGAGATCAAGAAAACGGAGGTTCTCATGGAGAACTTCAGAAGAGCCATCGGCTTGAGAATCAAGGAGACCAAGGAAGTATACGAGGGCGAAGTGACAGAGTTGACACCGGTGGAAACGGAGAATCCCATGGGGGGCTACGGCAAAACTGTCTCACATGTGGTCATTGGATTGAAGACGGCTAAGGGTACGAAGCAGTTGAAACTGGATCCTTCCATATACGAGTCTCTGCAGAAAGAGAAGGTAGAGACGGGCGATGTGATCTACATCGAGGCGAACAGCGGTGCTGTGAAGAGGCAAGGCCGAAGCGACAATTTCGCCACGGAATTCGACCTGGAGGCGGAGGAATACGTCCCTTTGCCGAAGGGCGATGTACATAAGAAGAAGGAAGTTATCCAGGATGTGACACTCCACGACCTGGATGTAGCTAATGCCAAGCCTCAGGGTGGTCAGGACATAATGTCTATGATGGGGCAGTTGATGAAACCTAAGAAGACTGAAATTACGGGTAAAAAAGTTGCATCTGTGCATTATTTATATTTAGGTGAACATAAATCACTCGCGTTCCGACGCAGGTGTAACATACGTTTGTATCTGGGGGTGATGATGCTTAGTTATATGTTATTTCAGACAAGCTTCGGAAAGAGATCAACAAGGTGGTGAACAAGTATATCGACCAGGGTATCGCCGAGCTGGTGCCGGGAGTATTGTTCATCGACGAGGTTCACATGCTCGACATAGAGACTTTCACCTACCTTCATCGCGCTCTGGAGAGCGCGATTGCGCCGATCGTTATTTTCGCTACGAATCGTGGCCGCTGCATCATTCGGGGCACCGAGGACATCGTCTCTCCGCACGGCATACCTCTCGACCTGCTGGACCGTCTGCTCATCATCAGGACTCTACCGTACTCGAGGCAGGAAATTGAACAGATCGTGAAGCTGAGAGCCGTCACGGAGGGCCTGCAAATCGAAGACGAGGGTCTGTCCGCTCTAGCGGAGCTCGGCACGAAAACCACCCTACGATATGCGGTACAGCTTTTAACGCCCGCGTCCTTGGCGGCGAAGGTCAATGAAAGAACCAGCGTAAAGAAGGAAGACGTCGACGAAGTTAGCTCGCTTTTCTTAGACGCTAAGTCATCCGCCAAAATACTGACGCAAAATCAAGATAAGTTTATGAAATAAAAGTTAGCATTACGATAGTTATATCGCCCTGTGAAATTGCTCCCCCTCATCTTCCAGAATCCCCGGGCCGAGATACTTATTAATTTGACTGATTATTATTTTCTTTCTTGTCTGTCTTCACTCGGTCAGTTATGTTTCCATTGGAGTAATACTTGCCTGAATTGTACATATAGTATGGCAATGTAAGCGTAACGCTATGTTCAATAAGTGAGAAGCAATCTCGTATATGCTGGACATTTTTCATACAAACTGATCTTACGTATGAATACATCGTTTGTATCAATGATACAGATTGCACGAATAAAAAAATTTATGAAAAACGTAAAGCGCATATGTATCTACGCACACAACATACACGTACCTGAAATATCCGATATAATTGTATCTTTGGCATGAATTTGAAAAGTATATCCCGTAGAATATACGATAATATTTGAGAAATAAGGCTTGTGCGGAAATCAATGTCACGCGTAATCTTCCATGTATTGTATAACATTCGCGAAAAACAAAGTGGCAGAGTTACACTAGAGTCACATTAGATCAAGCATAAATATCACGAGATACACGATAATAATTGCAAAATATCAAAATATTGTCCTAGACGTCTTACAGAGCTCAGGGTTCAAGCAAAGCCGCGTAATCAGAAGTTGTGACATCGGCGTACGCGATGTAGTGGATATAAAATCTCCGTCAAGAGTTAAACGTTTCTTAGTTTAGTGTGAACTCGCGGGCGATAACGTTGGAATAACGTGAGCCACACGACGCGACCATCCTTCTCGACAGTCTGTGCCGTGCGCGTTATTTTATTACCAGAAATCACGATGCTGTACGCTCTGAAGATGGAAAGGTGTTGCAGATTACTTAACAAGCGCAATATCGTGACTAGATACGCGCGCGGATTGCAATCGGGCAGCTCTCAGAGGGAGAAACTCGAAGGATTGCTTCCGCAAAAGGAAGAATTCCAAGTCAGGCATATCGGGCCGAGGGAACACGAACAGATGAAAATGCTGCGAACCATCGGATATCAGGTAATTCGTTCGATACGGATTCGTACAACGAGAGGAAATCTCACTTGCGTCGTGACTAAATGAATTTCACCGATGACTCGGTATTTCAGAGCCTTAATGAACTGACGGAAGCGGCTGTCCCGGCTAAAATTCTTCACAAGAAAGACTTGAGCATCGACGAGCCCCTCAGTGAGTGATATATTTTTTTCATTCTCAATACGCGTATGTATGTAATACTTTCACATTTTTTGTAAAATTAGTTTCATCATTTCGACGATAGGTCGTTCGGTCTTTATTCCGTTAACCCGTAGAATCAGGCAGGGGGTCTCTCGAAACATACAAACATATAATCCGTATCTTGAAAAGAGAAATCAATCTCTATCTCGGAAGGAGAAAAAAAATCAATACGTATTTTTCCAGCTTGCAAGACACAGAAATAGTAGTAACTGCGCTTGTTTTTTTTTTCCTCGAGATACGCGATAATCACGGGTCTCGGATAGAAACGTGACGAGTCACGCGACTTTCCGTCTCGAGCTGCCCCGCAAGTGATAACCCTTGGTTATCGGTAACGCATTTCACTGAACACATGATTCTCCCTATTGCACATTTATAATATATAATATATAAATATATTGATTGCATATATATATATATATAATTATAATACGATGTTAATAATTAATATAATTACATCACGTACTTCTATCAACTAGACATACATTTTATAACGTAATCATTTTTCGGGATATGTGCAGTGCGTGCGGTAAGTTGGAGAAATTATAGTGCTTTCGATCGAGGGGTCACACAGTTCAATCTCGTGCGTTCGTCCGCTCGGCTTCACGTGATTTCCTCGATTGTCGTCAGAGATTTGTAAACTCGCATATCTTATCGTGACGTTACATACATATATCATAATATTGCTACGATATTACGATCTTACCGAACCGTATGTTCGACGCTTTTTTCTACGACGAGATATCATTTTGAACACGAGCATCGATTAACACGAAGTAACTTTTACATTAATACGAAATACCAATGCGGACCTTTCTTTCCAGCCGAATACGAGTTGATGAAGCGAATCACGAAAATTTCCGAAGAAAACGACGTGTGGCGCTCTTACATAGGCATGGGCTACAACAATTGCTGCGTGCCGCACACGATAATGCGCAATATGTTCGAAAATCCGGGATGGTAAATAACTAGAAACCCGAACAAAACGGGCGAATAATCGCGAGATTCTTGTCAAACGAAAATCTTTTGCCGCAGGACGACGCAGTATACTCCTTATCAGCCGGAGATCTCGCAGGGGAGGCTGGAGGGCCTGCTGAACTACCAAACCATGATATGCGACTTGACGGGGATGGAAGTGGCGAACGCTTCCCTCTTGGACGAAGGAACGGCGGCAGCGGAAGCTTTGACTCTCGCCTGCAGGTACAACAGGCGAAAGAAGTTGTTCGTCTCCGACAAGGCGCATCCGCAGACCATCAGCGTGGTCGGGACGCGCGCCGCTTCCTTGGGCCTCACCCTGGAAATCGGAGATGTCTTCAGAGTGGACACGAGCGCGAAGGACATCGCCGGCATCCTTATACAATATCCCGACACAAACGGCTGCATACACGATTTCACGGACATCGTCCAGAAAGCGCACGCCAATGGAGTACGTATATTAAGGATGCCTTTCGCCAAATTCTGATTAAAAGCTGAACCGATAAATAATAAGAATTGCCGCCCCCCCCCCCGATTTCCAGTTCTACAACTTGTCGCTCAACGATAATCGAAGAATCAATCATTTCTGTCTGTGTTTAGCAAGATAGAGCAGATGAGCGCTTGAGGCTGACGGTAATTTTGAATCGTCGATTAATCGGGTTTCGCTCGAAAGTCACCCTAAACATGGTAAAATAAACGCAGAAACGCGGATATTTCTGCGTGAGATACAACGTGCGATCCATCTTATAAATTTCCGAATGTCTTCTACGCGTCGGATTAATGACGCCGTTATGCGGCTAAAACGCTTGGAAAGCGTCTAACGGCTTCTTCATTTTCTGGTAGTTACATGCGACAGTTTAACGATGTGCCTTGTATTCGCATCAGACGCTCGTGTGCTCCGCCACCGATTTGCTGGCGATGGCCGTGCTCCAACCGCCGAGCGAGTTCGGGGTCGACATATGCGTGGGCACCAGTCAACGTTTCGGGGTCCCTCTCGGGTACGGCGGTCCCCACGCCGGGTTCTTCGCGTGCCGGCAGAAGCTGGTGCGCTTGATGCCCGGTAGGATGATAGGCGTGACGAGAGACTCCGGCGGGCGAGAGGCTTACCGGCTGGCCCTTCAGACGCGCGAGCAACACATTAGAAGGGACAAGGCCACCAGTAATATCTGCACCGCGCAAGCTCTGTTGGCTAACATGTCCGCGATGTACGCGGTGTACCACGGACCTCGGGGTATACGAGACATCGCTACCCGAGTTCACAATTTAACGCTGGTTCTCGTGAACGGCTTGGAAGCAGCGGGCAACACCGTCAAGAACATATACTTCTTCGACACCATCCGAGTGCTGCCGAAGATGCCCGTGCAGACGGTGAAGGAGAACGCGAGGGAAGCTAAGATCAACTTAAGGTGCGTATCTGTCGTTGCACGCTTCGTAACGCTATGTTAATTGAGAACTAGAGAGAACGGTTCGTTGCGATGTTATGAATAATAATTGCGAGGGTGGAAACTGGCAGGTATCATAACGATGGTACTGTTGGGATATCCCTCGACGAGACCACGACGATAGAGGACGTGAACGATCTCTTCAGGATATTCTCGGCGGACACCACGGTGAACAGCATCGTCAGGAACGAGAGTTACCTCGCGAGAAGTTTGGATAAAACGGACGACTTTCACCGTACCATTCCGTACTTGCAGCACCCCGTCTTCAACAGCTACCATTCCGAGACGAGGATAGTCCGATACATGAAGTCTTTGGAGAACAAGGATGTGTCTCTCGTGCACAGCATGATCCCATTGGTAAGCGTAATCTCGCAGACGAATAGGCGCTTCCTCAGCACTCGGATCTCTTCTGTACGGTTCTCGTTCGTCAGGGTTCTTGCACGATGAAACTGAACTCGACGACGGAGATGATGCCCTGCAGCTTGAAAGGCTTCACCGACATACATCCTTTCGCTCCGGTCGAGCAGGCCAAGGGCTACCAGCGACTGTTCGCCGAACTGGAGGAAGATCTGTGCGCGATCACCGGCTACGACGCCGTCAGTTTCCAACCGAACAGCGGGGCGCAGGGTGAATACGCGGGCCTGAGGGCGATACAGTGTTATCACGAGTCCAGGGGCGACAAGTGCAGGCAGGTGTGCCTGATCCCGACGTCGGCCCACGGCACGAATCCCGCGTCCGCCCAGATGGCGGGTATGCAGGTGGAGCCGATTTTCGTGCGCAAGGACGGTTCCGTCGACATGGCGCACTTGACGGAGATGGTCGACAAGTACCGGCAAACGTTGTCGTGCTTGATGATAACGTATCCGTCGACGAACGGCGTGTTCGAGGAGACGATCGGCGACATCTGCGACATGGTGCACAGCGCCGGCGGGCAGGTGTACCTGGACGGCGCTAACATGAACGCTCAGGTCGGCCTGTGTCGGCCCGGCGATTACGGCAGCGACGTGTCGCATCTCAACCTGCACAAAACCTTCTGCATTCCACACGGAGGCGGTGGGCCCGGTATGGGCCCTATCGGGGTGTAAGTGAACGTTTCCTCCGATCCTAGAGTTTACAATCGAGGATTACGCGACTTTTAACTTGAAATTTCCACGTGCAACTTACAGAAAGAAACACCTTATACCTTTCCTGCCGAGTCATCCGGTGATCAGTTGTTCGGGCAACGGTAACGGCAACGACATCAGGAACTTAGGTGCTGTGTCGGCCGCGCCTTTCGGATCGTCCGCTATCTTACCGATCTCGTGGGCCTACATCAAGATGATGGGCCCGAAAGGCTTGCGCAAAGCTACGCAGGTGGCTATTCTCAATGCCAATTACATGAGCAAGAGACTGGAGGGGCACTACAAAACGCTGTACAAGGGCGAGACCGGACTGGTCGCGCACGAGTTTATCCTGGACGTGAGAGATTTGAAGAAGACCGCCAATATCGAAGCCGTTGACGTCGCGAAGAGATTGATGGACTACGGTTTCCACGCGCCGACCATGAGCTGGCCCGTGGCTGGGACCTTAATGGTCGAACCGACTGAATCCGAGGATAAGACTGAGCTGGACAGATTCTGCGATTCTCTGATTTGTAAGTTTCAGAAACGATCAGACACGCTACTCGAGATATCTCGGATGTTAAACGTTAATACCCATCGTCGCTTGCTCACGTTTACATTATTTGGCAGCTATAAGGAAAGAGATTGCCGACATCGAAGGGGGGAAGTTAGATATCGTGCAGAATCCCCTGAAAATGGCACCTCACACGCAGGAACAGGTGATCACGAGCGAATGGAATCGGCTGTATTCGCGAGAATTGGCGGCTTTTCCTGCTGTGAGTAATATCTCTTCGTCAGACATTTTCATTGAATTGATCGAATCGCGCTATTCCAGCCGTTCGTGCGAAGAAACAAGATCTGGCCGAGCGTCGGACGGATAGATGACATCTACGGCGACAAGAACCTATTCTGTACGTGCCCGCCTATCTTGCCGGAGCAATAGCTGCGACGTCACTGCACGCTACACATGTACAGTTAGCTTTTACAATAACTAGAACTAATTAAATATTTATTATCACTTTCATACAAATATATTATTTATATAAAACATACTCTGACACGAGCAGTTAAAATATAACGAGGATCTCTGTTTCTATTGATTTGAACTCGTAGCGCGAGCGAATCATTCAGGTCATCAATTTGATCTTCACGCTCTTGCGAATGACATCTCAAAAAGTCTCTCATTACTGTCATCATCTTTCTATTCTTCACGTCTCTATTTTCAGTATCTCTATTTACATTGCTCTAAGTAACTTTGTATATTTTAGTTAACTTGTGTCGTATATTTTACACATACTTTGTACATATATTATAGACCGGGCATTAAATAAGCGATGTTGTCGAGCATTTGGGAGAGCGTTTCGGGTTTAGCTCCGTTAGTCCCCGGCACTTGTTGAGTCAAACAAACTAACGGACCTAAGGCACAGAGCAACGAGTCCAATAACACTGAGAGGCTTCCGGAGACCGCAATCTGACCGTCGTGTTCCTTCAAGCGTTCCCCGATAATAGTCAGGCTCTCACCAAGCAGTTTCAGATGAGCCGCGACATCAATCGGTTGCGTCCCGATAACTTTGTACATGCCAGTGCCGATCACTGGCTCATTGACCAGATCTTTGCTGGCGCGATTAGCCGGCGGCGAGACAGGAACGTTACCCACGACGGACGGCACGCCGAGCTGAATCGTCTTTTTCGTAGAAGCAGGTTTCGCCTCTTTGCCGTTACCTGAAATCCAATGCACAGAAGAATGACTCGGTTAATGTCGCACTGAATATTTGTCTTAAACGAGACACATGCGCGCATAAGACAAACGAAGATGTAACAGCTACGAGGAAAAAACTAGAGACAGATATGTCCGGTCCGGTAAGTATTCTCCGCTGATGCACGCATGCACGAGAGGGGAAGATATATAAATGTACACATAACTACCGCATAACAAGGTAACATACAAATTGTAAACCGCCTATTTACATATTACAAGAACCAATAAACCCACCAATTTTATTAATGAATTTTTTTCGCGAGGCGGGCGGTGGCATTTTCCAGATAGGCTCGTCTTTATTTGCCGGCAAAGAATGAGGCTTTGCTGCTAAGCGTTTTGCACGCCTGCGCCAATTATATTTTTCCAGATGTGGTACTGTAGCCCATAGCTCTCCTAATCGCTTAGAAATTGCCGCAAAATCTACAAAAAGCAACAATCATGTAAAACAACATCGAAGTAGCATGCGCCTTTGCTAAAGAAAAAAATAAATACAGCTTAGATACCCATGTAAGGAGATTGCTCTAACAGTTCTTGCCTAATTTTTTTTGCCCATAGCATGTAAGCGGTAAACCTCGTCTTCTAAAAATATCAAAAGATTAAGGCCACCGTTCGGCATTCACTCATCACTTAGTACATACCCCTTTATCTTTGCGCTGAGCCTTTGTCTTGCCTATAATTTTCCCATCTTTAATAATTAACTTTTTCTTACACTTTTCAAGCATATATAAACTATTTGCTTGAGATGGTGTTTCCTGACCTGCTGGTGGTTCTAGTTTCCTGAACCCCGTTTCTCTGTCATCTATCATAAGAGGATCAACTTCATTGTCGCTCCCAGAATCCATGCTATATCTCTCGTCTTCGTTTAACCCAGAGGGATCGTCAGAATCCGATGCTGACGACTGTCCCTCATTGTCAGACATGGATGATTCTGGCTTGATTCTTTGCTGTAACTGATTGGAACCGGAATTCTTTCTTTGTCGCCCACCGCTATTCGGCTGACCCGATTGGGTGGGTGATATTTGTTGATGCGGCTGTACTTCATACTGATCCAACAGTTGCTGATGGGCTTGCTGTGCCTTTATTTGTCGTTTATGCTTATTTTCTGCTAGATCATCAGGCGACTCGAAGTCGACAAGTTTGGAGGATTTCTTCCTTACCCGGCCACTGCGCGATATACCCGTGACCTCTAGATCTGAAAGATAAAGCAGACTGCACCTTGCCAAAAAAAAGAAAGAGTCTGATATACTTTGCAATAGCTAACTACCAAGCTGAGACATCTATAGATTCAGGATAGACACAATACAGAGAGAGAGAGAGAGAGAGATAGAGAGAGACAAGGTCTACTTCTACACGCAGGCTACAAGATATCAGCTATTAAAGATGTTGGGCAGCCAGTCGCAGTACAACTCTCAGTTTCTCTCTTTGCTTCTAAATTCTTTTCTATGAAAATTACGTTGTATATTCTGTGCATATAAAAATCAATCATTCAATTAATTAAATATTCTATTATAGAGAACAATAGAGATGAGTAAATATGGAAAGGAAGATGCGTTCAACAATGCTTATTGTATATTTTGTCGAACAATGTTCACTTGTTATAGGGGACCAATCGCACAAAATTCAAGCAACGAAGAAAATTATTACCGTCGTTAGACTCGCAATTACAAGTACCGGCACATTTGACGTTAGTTTTTCAGACAGGATTTTCAACAGTCTACTAACAAATAGAGAACCGTGTGTATATCGGTTAGTACGGCGATTACCCGCCGTGTACGCCGAAGCGCTAGCACCTTGAAAACGCCAGAAATCACAACTGAAGAATATCGCACAAAGAGAACTCCGGGATTTCCTACGGATGCGCGCAAGATCATGCGATATCACTGCAAGCGATACCAGCGAGGGCAAGCAAACGATCTAACTAGCCGATCGGGACGAAAACGCCACTACGAAAACCGATCTCACCATCGTTCTTCTGTCGTTTTGGTGAGCCGAACATATCCATAGCGTCCTTCCGCTGATCTGCGTGTTTGCCGCGCTGTGGCGTCCTGTCGGGCTTCGCGGGCTTACAAACGTACTTAAACATGACGACGACGTTAAACGACCGAGTAGCCGCAAACCTCCAGCGACGGTGTCTCTCATCGATTCCTACGTGCGACTGCGATCCTCCCCGCACCGGTTCATTGACTAAACGAGGCTCTGTTTATTCACGCGATCTTTTAGAAAAACAATCGCTGCTCGCCTCGCGTGCTTTCAAAGTGCTGCGGGCGCAGCGCGCATGCGCGGCGCAATATTACGAACTTCGAATTTCGAGCTCACTTCAGTCGGTACGACGTTCTCGCGAATTTGCAACGATCGGCTCGTCAAGTTTTCTACCGCGTCGCGAATCGCGTGTAATAACGAGAATCAAGAGGAGAGGACGGAAGATCTTCGAGGACGAAGTAGAACCGAAGGCGTCGTTTGGCGTATCGATGTGCGATATATCTGCTCACCTCGTAGCGGGCGCATACTTTCCACTCGCAACTGTGGCGACCAAACGATCGTCCGGTAATTATGATGCACATTAGTACTTCATATCTCCTTCTGTAGCCAAATCTATGTTTCATTCGCGTATATTCGTAATGCGTGTCGTATTTATCGTACTACGAGACGTGGATATATATTTGTGAAAGTAGAATTTTACGTATGAATCGTTAGTCACGGAAAGGTGTCGCAGTTCGAAAGAGAAAGCAACAAAAGTGGCCGGCTTCGAGGCATTTATAGCTAGCTGGATCGCATTTATAAAAATATATCAACCCATGATCACGTCATATCACGTATTATTTTTATCGAAATCATGGGGCATTTAATACATATATGGATATAATAGATATTTACATTATGTATTAAATGCGTACATAGTATCACAAGTACTTGTAATATGTATATTACATATTGGAATACATTTTTCCTATGTAAAGATACTGATTCACGTGACATTAGAGAAATATGTTTATAAAAGCTCAATTAACTAATAGAATAGGATTAAATGCTATCTTCTTGCTGCCAGCCATCCTTGTCAGATAGATATCTTCGTTTGTGACTCGTGTTCATGTATGGCCTCAAGACCCATTCTGATTCAGCTGTCGCAGCAGTGTCCAGAGTACTCAGTTTGATCTCATACAGCTTCATCTGGAAACGTGGTCCTACTTCGATCAATTCAACCTCCTTGCCTTGTCCTTTCTTATACATATGATGTCTGAAGCATATGTAGTCGTCGTGATTGGCAAAACTGATCACTCTTTTGCTGTCCTCCTTTGGTACAGGAAACAGGTACTTCAGGATGTTCACCGTTCGTTGTCCCAGTTTAGTTTTGAAGTTGTGGAAGATCAGATGTGGATACTGTTCGGACATTGTGCCAATGTCAGGTATATCGTGCCTCATTATGACATCGGATAATGTGAAATAGGCAGTGGGTCCGTATGGCAAATGGCATATCACCAGGTTGTCAGGTACGCCACGGTGTTCGTGCACTATGATGAAATCTGTCACCTCGTTTGCTCGGCAAGCGTGTATCAGCTGCTTCATTTCGTAGTTACCACGGTTCATCCGCTGTGAATTGGGAAAGATCAGGCGCAGCTCCTTGACGAACATCTTCAACCGGGAGCTAGGATCGCGCGACGTCGTGATGACGATCTTGGGATCTTCCACACCAGCCCAACGGTACTCGTCGTCCTCGTGGTTGCCCACGGTGCCACCCATCTCCGTTCCCATGGCCACTGCCATCTCCGGTCCCGCATCTTCCCATTCTATTTTCTTCTGCACGTGTAGAGCATCCTTACGTAGGCCCGAGTGAATAGGTGTGTTCTCCTCCAGGTTGCGTCTCAGCTTATCCTTCTTCTCCTGGATTCCTTTCACCTTCTCCTGCACGGACTTCCTGTAGAGATATTCTCTACGTAATCGTGCTTGCCGTCGCAACATTTTCGTTGTTTATGATCGCGCTCTGGATTGCTAGGTTATGAAAGCGTTTACCATGCGCTAACTCTGAAAACCTAATGGCGCTGTACAACGTTAAACTGTGAAAACAGTGTGTTCACTCTCATGGCTCTAATGCCAGATTCACACTGCGCGACATCAGATGTACAACGTGCGATATCCAATAGGAGGATACGTCTTTTGGAGACAAAATGTCGGTAGCTAGGAACTCTAAAAAGCGGAACCTTTTATTGGATATCGGATCATTGTCGGATATAATGTGAATCCTGCATTATTAGCTGCGTAATCATTGCCAGTGTTGAAAATCTATAGTATATACGTAACATAAACTATAGATTTTTACTGCTGACAGTGAATTTTAGGGCACGGCCGTTGTAGGGTCTGTAAAGTGCTCTTGGAGTTTGTGCGCCATCTTTCGTCGGCGACGAGCAACCTCCTGGTAGTTTAAAGTCGGTTGATTAAATAGGGATCTGTTATAGCTTTTTAGTGTGTATTCTTAAGTGTCGGTCTACAACAGGTATTTTAAGCCTTAAGAAATTGACCAATCATAGTCGAATGTGAAGAGAATAATTAACTGTGATTGGTCAATTTCTTAAAGCTTAAGGCTTAAAATACTTATTGTAGAAACCGACACTAATGTGAGAAGAAAAATAAAAGTAGATATATATTTTACTTTTGGGAACAGAACTAATGAAGAAACAAATTGTAGAACATGGATCGAATAGATTTACAGTTTATACTGATTGAAATTTTTTTATAATCGCACAAAATCAATAATTAACTATTTATATTTTCCTATATAAATTATCTCTCCTATCTCAAGATACGAAATGTCAAATTATCTTTATTGGAATCGCTAAATTGTTTCAAGTGGATTATAAGAAAATTAACGTAGACAAATTAATCGAAATTTTATTTTTTAGTTATTTTTTTCTATTAAAAAAAAATTTGTAAAAATGTCGAGAAATCATTAATTTTCGTTTACGAGGCAGTTTGGTCATTAAACTTTCGAGCATTCGTCGTCGTACATATTTCGAGCCTCCTCGTATTGTTTGTATGATCTGCCACGTACGTCGTAACGCGCACTTTATATAAGAAATCGCAACACACAGAGCGGGACCCGCCTGTTTGAGAGGATCAGCCTGCTTCCCCACACGCCGCGGCTCATGGCGTTTCGACTTGGATGTGTTATTTTGTGCAACCATCTGAGAGCGAGGCCAATCACGCATGAAAGTAACAATGAATAGCATCGAAATAGGCGGATAGGAGGCCAGACCGGTGATTTTGTCCGGTGCGTTCGAGGCACCTGTGTGTGCGTGTACACTTGCGCATGTGCACGTGCGTTTACATCTACACACGTGCGCACGTGTTGCGTGGCTGTGTGTACACGTATGTCTCCTCCGTGTGTGTAGAAACGTGTGTGGTTCAGCGGACTCCACGCCTTGGGCATCCTCTTCCGCATTTCACATCGTCGGAAGAGGAAAAATTCCGCGGAACGATCTGTCGGTTATATACCCGGGGTGAAGAACGTTCCGCTAAATACTTCGCAAATTATTTCTCGCTCTCCGGGAACACGCGATTGCAACAATTCATTCTTTTCTACCGTGTATCGTACGACCACCGTATCGTCGCGCACTCCTTCTCGGCACCGGTTTTCGGCAGGAATTATCAAATCGTTCCACCCGCGTCGGATAACTGAGGAAGAAATGAAAAATCGGCAAGACCGAGGATCGTAGGTAAAATCAATCGGGCGTTTCGGAAAAGTGCAGTGTCTCTACTCGCAGCGGTTATTCCGGGTATGTCGAACTCTTCGTCGCGCGCCAGCGGGAGGGCTACGTTTTCCGCAACACAACGTGTATATAACGACGCCGGCGCGTCGAGCGATGCCCTTCCCCAGTCCGTATTATAGCAATTCAATAATAAATTGTAGAACGGCTCGGTCGCCGCATTATGCGCCGGTAATCACAGTAATAAGCAGTTCTAAAAGTAACGTAAGTACGTTGTAGGTAGTAACGAGTGAGCCGTAATCTCGGGGGATGCCCCTTCGTCCGTGGCAACGAAGGAGGAGAGAAATCGCGGACGAGACTGGCGAGCGGGGGGATAAGGGGGGGCTTGGGGAGGCAAGGAGGTGAGATAGAGAGAGAAAGAGAGCCCATGGGCGTCATCCGCGATACGTTCTTGAATCGGCATAATTTACAGCCCCGTTCGAGCAAATTGAGTACGTTTATGCAAAAGGGGCGACATAAAGTACATCAACGGTGACGACGATCGGCAGAACCGGACTCGTGCCGCTTCTCCTTCCGGCGAAGGAAGCGTCTTATTCTCCAGGACGCGACACGTACGTATCGCCGACGATTTCGACCCGTTCAAAGGGTCATGTGATAATAACGAGGAGTCTCGGCGACCCTCATTCGCGATCTCGCGCGTTGCTATCGCTCACTGCGTCGTCGACGAAATCCAATTGGTATGTGTTACTTCAGGCTGGGCCGTCCGGCTCGGATCTTCTCCTTATTTTTACCACGTTTTATTAAGAGACGAAACTCCCATCTCTGTCGCTCTCTAAATCGCTCTCGTAATCCGCAATATTTCCGCACATACTTTCGGTACATAGAGCACGCCCACGCTTAGAGACAAGTTCGCGTGCGGCGTACCTCGTGGATACACGCAATGCGCCTGTGATTTACGCGATTTTTATTCCTTCCTACGCACGCATCAAAACGCGCAGCCAGTTAGCGGGGAATTGTGATTGTTTTATCTTAATTGCTCACGACGACCGACGTTGCTTTGAGCGAGCGCCCGCAAGCGAGACTCACCACGGTTCGCGAATATTTTTTCGCGCAAAGACGCGAGCGAAATTCTTGATCGGTTAGACCGAAGGGTGAAGACGTTCAATCGCCGAGCGGTTCTCGTTTATTCGCGAATTCGACGGGGCGAGGTGCGCGAATCGAGAAAGATTCGTCGGACGGGAGCGAGGGCGAGCCGCGTGTATGTACGCCTATGAAACGGGTATGCGGGGACTACGCTGTACGTACCCGTTAAGCCAACATCTAATTCGATAACTGGCGAAAATAATAACGTAGCGATCTGTTGCGTTCGTGGCGCGCAATCATCCGCGGTTATCGTACCGGGTGTCCGCGGAGAACAGTAAGATCGAGGCGTTCCTACCTAGGGTGTTTTCGTTGTGCTCGTGTGCGAGCGAGTAATAATCGCTACCACCTGCTGTATACAAAATATGTACACAGAATAGAAAAATATTCCCTCGGTCATTGAGCTTTCGTTCACGCATCTGAAGAGCGTCGGGAGAGCTCAACGTTCCTAAAGAGGACAAGTCGCGTTTTATTCGACGCGTTCGAAAATGCTACCCGGGCGTTTCAGATCTCTGCGATTCTTACTTCGTAATAATACTTGCTTTCCATTTCTCGGAGTGGGAACTCACTCGGAACAAGTGAAAAATGTATCTTCGCTCGAAACGACAGTGAAGACAGCGAAACTGCCGCTCGAATTCGCAAGAATGAACGTTTCAAGCTTCGAGTGGATTCTAACTCCATACGAGTTGCCGGTGCGTGATTTCCTTTATTGAAAATCATATAGAAAACTCAATGAATTAGCGTTAAAGTGTGTGAACGATGCCCGGCGTGTACGTGCAAAATATACGAGCGTTCCGTTAGTTTTCCGGTCTCGAGTCGCGCCCGCGCATTCAGGTAGCCGCGTCCGGCCGTTTAAATGAATCAGATCTCATTTTTCGGACACGCGTTCAAAGGACGAACGGCAGCGATTCATAACGAGACGCTTTCTCTCTCTCTGTCGCTCCAGATTGCCTCGGTAGCAGGTAGACGACACTTATTAAAGGTTTCGGCCCGGGCTGGGCGCATCGATCTTCCTCCGCCGCAGCACGCTCCCTCGTGCAACCTTCGCTCTACTCCTACAACGAGGAGACCGCCGCGACACCAGCTCTCATTGCACGTCCACGAGAAATACCGAACAGTTTAATAAGCAAGCCGAGGTCGGGCCGAGATACCGCGATACAAGATACCGGCCGTACCATCCATCATGCGACGCGAATCGCTACTACGCTCTCTTCCTTGGGCGGTTTCGTCCTGTCGCGAGCTTTCAGCCGGAGCTTCCGTTCGGCAGACGCTCGTCGTTCCTCGCGAATCCTCTCGACGGCCGAGGATCTTTCGAATCCTCGTTCGATTTCTCCGTGATCCCTATCGAATATCGTCGAGTCGCGGGTCGCTTGGCTGGCCGATCGCGCCGTTCACGGATAGATCCGGGGGGGAAGAAAAGAGAAGGGAGAAAAAAGGGACCGCGTTAAATTCCCTCGTCGCGGCTGGTTTAATGCGCCGGCGATAATGGAAGCTTAGGTCGGTGCTCGCCATCGACCCGCCGTCATCCTGCCGAGGTCGCGTGCAAAAAATACGTTAATTCCGCGTAGCTTGCATGACCGTGCAAATAAATAAAACGGCAAACACACGCACACATTTGCATACACATATACGCACACACACATACATAGATCGGATAGGCCGCGGTACCGTATTTTATATTTTATCCGGTTCGAATGATTGATTGCGCTCCGCTACCGGGGGCTGAGTCCCGGGCCCGATAGCATCTCGCGAAATGCCCCCGGTCGACCGACTGTACTTGTCGTTTCACGCATTGTTTATTATTGTCCGATGGTTTTATCACGATCGTCGGGCATAGGGGAGCCCGGACCGGACAAGCGGGAAAAGCGGGGGATAACGATTCCTTCAGCGAGACGCTCTCGGGATGCGAGAGGCCGAAAATAGGCGCGACCACGATTATTTCGCGATCGTCTCGCCTTTCTTCTGCCTTTTGACGAATCGTCGAAACGTCCGAGTAATGTTCGACGCATGGACGCTCTCTCGAGCCTGTCGCTTCGCGATATCATTTCTCGATATTTCCGTGGCGAAGAGCAAGACGACGATGGATATCGTCGAGGAGAAAACGGAACTCGCGCGACCATTGCGCGATGCGGGACGAAAGTTCCCGGTTTTTTCGCATGAACCGGAGTAAAAGAGGCAACGATGCTG